GGATCGCTTCTCAGGTGCCGCTCCCATCATGGGAGCACCCTCTTCGCGTCCTGTACCGGAGCCACAAGCCTCTAGCCCACCACCTCTCGACACTTCCAGCAAGCCTAACGCAGGCCCAAGGGGTGTCCCGATGCCGGGCCTGCCTACCCGACCCAAGGAGCCAGAGGCAGAGGAAGAGGACGTGCCTGCAACTCAACACCAGCGCATGCCCTCTCCACCGCCCCAGCCGCCTCGCAGCCCATCCCCCGAGCCTGCTGGTTCTCCCGTTCGTATCGCAATGCCTGTTGCTCGCGGACGGGAACCCGAGGAGATGTCCCCTGCCGAGGAACACGCACCACCTATGCCTGCTCGGTCGCTTGATCAAGCAGCTAAGCAACAAGCGCGCGACATGTCTCCCGAGCCCCAAGTGGAGGCTAAGGATCCTGCTCGTGGTGCTGGCGCCGCTGTTGCAGCTGCCACTTTCGGTGCCGCCGCTGTAGGAGGTGCCGCCGTTGGTGCTGCCGTCGCTTCTGGTCATGATGATGATGAGGGTGCAGGTGGCTCTGGAAAGCGCGCAGTCATCCAGTATGACTATGAGAAGGCCGAGGATAACGAGGTCGAGCTTCGCGAAGGCGAGTACGTCACGGATATCGACATGGTGGACGACGACTGGTGGATGGGCACCAACTCGCAAGGCGAGCGTGGTCTATTCCCGGCCAACTACGTTGAGTTGGTGGAGGGCGACGACGATGCCGGTGCTGCACCAGCGCTACCTGCGCATCCCTCAGCGCCGCAGGAGCCTGAGCCTGCCGCGGCACCACCACAGTCTGCTGGCGGTTCTGGCCCAACTGCTACTGCTCTCTACGACTACGAAGCCGCCGAGGATAACGAGCTGAGCTTCCCTGAAGGAGCGACAGTTACTGGATTGGTAAGTCCGTTCGTATGACCGTCCAAGCCTATGCTAATATTATTGTAGGAATTTCCAGATGAAGACTGGTGGCTCGGTAGCTACAACGGCCAATCGGGTCTCTTCCCTGCCAACTACGTTGAGTTGAATGAGTAAGCTCACTCGATGCTACAAGTCTGTCTTGAGCGATATCGGAAGCTAGCTTGCATTGGTGATTTTGTTGTTGATTTACAACACGCACGACTAAGTGGTTAAGATAGGTATAAAAGTTGCAGAATCCAACCCTTTCAACTCCAATCAAATGTCCAGACGATTTACGTTGGTAGGACTGACACTTCTAGAGATGCACTGGGATAACCAGCGTCTCCTTGTACATATCCAAAATTTCCAGAATCGAATACCACGACCCTGAAACTGGTCACTTGTGGATAGAATTTGCTTACTGAGCTCCACGGTCAACTGTATTTCGGTACTCACTACGTGGGGTAAGACTACTTGTGGTTGTACCTCGCTAAATCTATGATTTCCACTGTTGAGGCCATGGCTCACCTATGACAACCACGAGATTATGATAATCCTAACAGCTATCCATGGCACCTTCTCTCTCGCTGGGCCGAGTACGCACATGACTACAGTTGAAATGGTTCCTGCTAGGGTATATAATGGTATAGTGTTCTTCACTTGTTGACTTTCTACACAAATCATTACGACGATATTGAATGCTCAAGACGAACGCACACAACTACAAACGCCTACATACACACTGAGATTTTTTTTTCACGACAAGTTGGCTACAACAGAATCCTTCCTCATTAAGACCGAGTCATTTTGGAGCTCTCCTGGAACGTTTCACATGTCTTCCTCCAACGACCCACTCACTACGAGTTACCTCGTCTTTGTCGTAGCCTTTGTGTGTTGGATGTGCAGCTCTTTCTCGATGAGGGTCGAAGGCGTAGCCTTGGAAAGAAGGTCTTACGCAGCTGAAATCGAAAATTCCAGAAGATCTCTCGATCTGGCCAAAGCTGAGCATTCCTCGGTCATAGATGACCTTAGGAAAACTATCGAAAAGGACATCTCCAATACCGTCATGGTTCTTCAGTTCACCAAGAAGAGTCTTAAGGATGCCCAAACCGCCCTCGAACAGTCACAGAGGATAGCTGCCACTCACTTCGAGTTCCGCGAAGCACTCGCCAAAGAACTAGCCCGAACCCGAACGCAGCGCAACTGGGCAGCAGCCGGCGTTGACCGCTCTCTGGATGCATTAAATGAGGCGGAACGCAAAGCCTCCTCCCAGGAACTCGTCGCATACGAAATGCAGTGTCAAATCAGGTTCAAGGCCAACGAGCTGCGCGACATGACGCTTTCGTTAGAAATGGCCAAGAAAGAGCTAGCGATTGCCAATGAGTTTAGCCAGAAGGCGCAAGACGAGATTGACGAGCAGAATCTGAGAATCGAAGAACAAGAAAAGTTGGTGGAGAAGAAAGAGCAAATAATCCTAGGTTTGTCAAACCAAATAAGGGACCATAAGATAGGATGCAGACGCATGCATTCTACGATCGAACGGCCGAACTTGGGTGTGGATTCGGTTCTTACAAAACTCGAAAACATGAATAGAAACCTAACTGAAGAAGCCGAGGATTGGTGCACAATAAGCCAAAACTGGTCGACAAACAATGCCAATGAGATTCATGCCATGGGATCCGAAATCGAGGGGGTAAGAGGGGAACTCGCAGAGTTTAATGCTGAGAATAAGCGTCTCACGCGAGATCTCAAGGCCATGGCCAAGCATGCTAAAATTTTCCACAAAGAGCGAGAGTTCATGACCCAGCAGATTGAGCAGCTTGTATGGGACGTCAATGCTCTTAAGATCGCTAAGAAGGAGAACGGTTCTGCGGAAGATATGGACGTAAGCGCTACAAAAGACGAAGAGGAAGATGAGGAGGAATACCCCTCTTGGTTCCCCAACGAAGACGACGGTAATGATGACACGTCACACAAGCTCAACGAAGATAGCGAAAAAGAGCTGGAATGGTTTGTCCACGCGCCGACAGCCACCACAGCGACTAAGTATATTGACGAATGGTATACGAAAGACGCCAATCTAATCAGAAATGAGGGCAGGAACCAAGACTTAGACCAGTGGATTGAAGATGTAGACACTCTGGTAAATAGTGAAGATGGGTTATATTACAAGGATCTGTACGAATCCTTGTATAGCGAGGATGAAGCTCTTGCCATTACTACATTTGAGGAAGAGGACAAGGACATGGCTTAGGTGTCAGGCTGAGATTGTACCAACTCGCCCACGAGGTAGCCCAAACGGTAGCAATCTTGTGGTTTCTGGCAGGTCGAAAGGTCATAGTTTGTTCTTTAGTTCTGGCGAGAATCTGTTCACCTACAGCCTATGGATTTTTGGAGCATATAATCTCTTCATTCCTATAGACGCTAAAATCACACGATCAAGGTGTACTTGGATTGAGATATTCGTACTTCAAGTAGTGGGAATTGCCTTTGGACTATCTTTGCTGCTTTCACCGATGATATAGCTAACCCTCGGTACTGGAAATCAACGCGCGCTAAGGAGTATGATGTAATGAAAGTCGTGACATAGGAGAACGACAAGTCAATTCACGAGTGATGTGATAGTCCCATTTTCATGTACCTAGTAAGTGCTTGCGTACACATCTTGAAAATCACGTCAACTTTAGTAACATAACTCGATTATTCTGAGACCGAGATATACCCTGATTGTCTATGATACAGGTAAGTTAGGGTGAGGGTTAGTAGGTGAACCCTTACAAGCCCATGCTGCTTCACTGCTTTTTCAACACAGGATACGAGTTGTCTATGGTGGTGTTGTGGCACTACACAATGATATCATGGTTGTACTGCAAAAACCCAACTCAGATCTCAACGTTGTCCAACATGATTTGATGAGCGCGTATGCACAGCAGGCTCGGAGTCTCAAGAGCTGACCGGTAAGAGGATGGTCTGCATCCTTTGATATCCTCATTCGTCCAAGTTATACTCGTTATGGCCCATTATAGGGCAGTTTATTGCTAAAATTGATAGGAGGGTGTTTAATCTATAGCTCGTGGTTGCCGTGCGTGGTCGGCTGGCAAACACTATTACACTCGCTCAGTAAGTTGTGCATGAAGTTCGCGCGACAGATACTTATCATTTAGCAATGTAATGCATACTTACCATCACGATGTGAAAGAAGACCATCCCGGCAACTCCATCACAACTCGTTGATGTTGAGCCTCAAAACCAGCCCGATTAGAGCCCAACCATGATATTCATCACCTCGACCGCTTCACAGAATACCACTTGTCAGAATGTGAGGACCTTTAACTCTCTTGTTGATTTCCACGGAGAGGAGAGTCTGCTGAAGGCGAAGTGATCGCTACGGACATGCGAAAGACGGGAATCAGATCGCAAGTCATCCACAAAGTCGTTGAATTCATTTTATCAAGGTCGAGGTGGCTTCTTTATATGTGACAAGAGGTACGTAGAGGTGACCTTGAGTGATCCCCGTCTCGAACGCGTAGGCTTATGTTGGCACTGCTGATATTGGCTGGGTGGGTGGTTGACGCAGATGTCCTTGGTTCATCGCATCAGCTGTCCGGATAATAGGCGATGCGGTCGATGGATTTGATTGTCTTGACCGGAACCATGAACGACGCACAACATGATGTATGCGCGGCACAGTATCACAGCATCGGCTCTGGTCGCGGGTTGTTTGTGGATGAGGTTGAAGACGCGGGGTGCGTGCAATTAGCCTGGCCCGGTGGAGCAAGAGCTGTCACCCCACAAGCTCTGTGGTCCGTAGGGCTGCTTGGCGACGCACTGTGCCGGCAATATCGATACGCTATTGCTCTACCTATCAAGACGTTGTGAGTCCTGAGTCATCACGATAACGCATGGCATGCTAATGATGTTGAGAAAGCCTATTACGTGCATCCGATACGGAAATCTTGGTATCAACACAATATGTACGCTACCAACAAAACGCCTTCTCCGCTTGCAAAGAAATTTCGAAGGAAAAGAATAGTCACATTCGATGCATGTGCCCTCGGCATTCCATGCATCCTGTAAGCAGAGAAACAAACATCTACTGCTTATCATTCTGCGAGTAGATGAAGTTCGCAGCGACAGGCACCAAACCATTGTGCTCAGCCCACTCTCGCACGCCACCACCCTTTTTTCCAGTACCCCAGTGTTGACGATCCTCCGGCTTACTCAGATGCAGCGAATCTGTTGTTCCATTCTTTGGCGCAAAGACTAGGAACACGTAGCGATGCTTGCCCGTCTTTGGTGGTGGGCCTGGAGGTTTGTACTCCATTACGTCCTCTGGGCCGCCATCAGTCGACTCAGTTTGTTCAGTGAGACCAAACTCTGGCAAAGGTAGGATAGAGAACGTATTCTGCGCAGTGGTGACGTTGGAAGCAATCCAGTGGCACATCTCGCTCCATTTTGGATTGTCGCGAGATGGCGCGTCGGGGTCTGTAAGTGTGACGACATAGCTCATGTCGGAGGTACTGTGTATCCCGTCCGGACTTGTGTCATCGTGGAGGACGATGCTGGGTTGTTCTTGAAGATCTTCTGGGTCAATGGTGTTGCCGAGTTTAGCCTTGGCATCCGACCATAGGACGGAGAGTGTGAGGCTAGGTAGGAAATCGTCAATGACTGTAGGAATTATCTCTGCATGTTGAAGTCTGTGTCCTGTTAGTAGAGGGAATATAAACTCAATGGGTATACTTACTTAGTCCGAACAGCCTGGACGTTCTTGGGGCCATTGAGTAGTAATGGCTTTTGCTCGGTTGGTAGCGCAGCTGTTCCACATAGCTGCAGCAGGCAGGTCAAGCCTATCGAAAGCTGAGAAAACATCGTGTCGGCGAACCGTTTGTTTATGAACAGAAGCTCTTTTTCTATCTGGATTGTCGCTTCAAAGTAAGGTACCGTCGCGATTGGGTGACGAGTGCAGAGGCGTATCGAAGAGATCGCTATTGCGTGAGGTAGGTCCTTAAGTGGAAGATCTCCACCCCAGTGTCGTGCGTCATTCGTACCTCAACTGGTGCAGATCCACTAACGGTCTGGGAAGCTACGACGTAATTGCGCAACACAACCTTGCAGTACCGCAACTCGTACAGATGTCATGTAAATGTATTTCTGCTATACTGTAGCTCTACGGGTATTTGGATAGCACGCTCAAGAACAAAAAAAAAAGTCCAGAAAACCGCCATTGTAAAACGAAGAGGCGATTGAATCAGCAACCCTCAAAATGTTCACAAAGTTGCGCGTCACAGAAAGCGCTGCTGGTGGTGACAAAGCCCATATTTTGCGAAATTTGGTACTCAGCGAGTTCCTGAGCTCCTCGGCCCGTCATTGTGCCTGTGCAGTCGCTGATCAGGACACAGTCCCATCCGTAGGAGTAGGCATCAGACACGGTACCAAACACGCATTGGTCGGTGTTGACGCCAGCGAAAAGTAGGGTTTGCTTTCCAGAAGCACGGAGGTACTCGTGAAGAGGCTCCTTCTCGGACCAGAGTCCACTCATTCGCGTCTTGTCGAAATACAAATCGCCAGGCTGAGCGACTGCTTTGAAAGGGTCGTAGAGTTCGGCGTTCCAAGTCCGCTTGAACAAGCACCTTCCCTGGTTATCGGGTAGCTGGGCGCCGAGCCCGACATGCCATCCCAGACTCTTACTGAAGCCTCGCTGAATAGCAGGTGCCATCTTCTTCAAGTCGTGGTCAGTGATTCCCCAGTTGAGCCAGGCGATCTGAATTCCTTCCTTGCGGCATCTCTCGATGACTTTCAATGTCGGTTCAATAGCGGCAATCCCTGCGGCGTGATCTCGATAGAGTGGGTGAACAAAGTAGTTTTGCATGTCGACCACAATCAAGACCGAGTTACCAGGGTCAATCATGAAGCCGGTGTGGTTGCGGCCTTCTTCATCGCACTCGAAGACCATTTTCTGCTGCGAACCCCGAGATAGGTCGAATTTCTTGGTTGCTGGTAGGTAAAGCCATTGTTCTTCTCCTCCAAACGGGATAGGTGCAGTGCATGTAATAGTCCCCACTGTGACGTCTTTGTGTTGCTCTTCGGTGGTGGTGGTGAGAACAAGGGACTCCGAGGCCATGGAGCCGTCGGAGATGACCAGGGCGAAGTAGGTGAGAGTTGTGAGCGGCAGGATACCCAGAGTAGATTCGGGTGGAAGATCAGTGCAGAGGTGGTGAGGATAACTGAGTAGATTGGAGCAAACGACAAAGAAGGTACGTTACCTTTGTAGTCGATGCACGAACGCTGTTGCTTCACTTGTTTGCGGTGAGCCTGATAACAGACCTTATCATTGTGATAGGCTTCCTTCGGAAGGAAGCTTGGTCATAATAAGACAATGATTCACTCAAGGCAAGGTAAACCTATCAGCTTATGCGGAGATGTGCTTCCGTAGGGACTTGGAGGCTACTTCAGCCTTTCCAAATTGCGGTAGAGTACGTCGAAGCGACCTGACGATCGCAATGGATTCCCCAGGATGCGGAGATACGAGCTGGAGATCTTCTTTGATAATTTGGTGTTGTCGCGTGTGGCCGCGTCTTACAGAGCGATAAGGCTGGTGTACTTGATAGATAGCCGTCGCCTTACTACAAGGGAATCCCCGAGGGTCCGACAATACCCGAGCGCGATCCAGCGTACACCGTGTACGCCAGCGTGTCCATGGTACTTTCTGAGCTACCAGAGGCAATGCGATAATACGTGGCCAAACTAGGAGAGCAGAGTCCACATATTCTCGAAGAATTCTACGAGATTCGTGCGCCAACTCAGACGGCCAGTCGTATGTTCTGTATTGTCAAAGGCCGACCCGGGTCGCGCACAACCAGGTACTGCTGACGCTGCTCAGGTGGTAGGGAAAGTCGTCTTGTTACTCATTTGATCGTGTGCACCCTCTACATACGGTTTGCTGCAGGCTCATGTGTACCGTGTCCGGCCTTGGAGCCGAGCCGCATGCACGGCGTGTGGTGGCGTTCGCAGGACTCGCGACCAAGATGGTCGGGTTCAGCAGCCTCGTGTTTGCTTTGACAAAACGCGTGTGCTTGGCGACGTAGCTGAGGGTGTCTTCTCCTTTATGCGAAAGGAATGAACAATATGGACTAAGATTAAGGAGACATGTGAATGTTGAATGTGGGGTGCATTGCCATGCTGGCCGTCACGTGCACCATCATCAAACCTTGGAACTTTCAAGCGAAGTGACGACGGAGCTGCAGCAAAGGCACTCTCATCACGAGCCTCTGGACCCGACGAAGCCGCCATCAGCCACAGTCACTTCGCCGATCCTGCATCTGCACAGTGCAACACCTCTGCTACGCCGTAGGACGACATTTGGCCCATACAGCATTCCGCCGTGTTGTTTGGCTGCTCAACACCAACCCGGACCCTTTGAGTAAGGAGCAAAGAAACCACACATACACACCAGCGCGATGGCGTCGCTGGGCGAGGAGCTCCTCAACATTGTCAACAGGCTGCAGGATTTGGTCTTCAACACAATTGGAAATGATTCCCTAGATTTACCCCAGATTGTATGTGCGCCCCAGCCAGAGAAGAGAATGCGGTGAGCGCAGAGCAGATTTTACAAAGCTCTGTCGAGGCTGATGCGAATCCTGCTAACTCGATCAGGTCGTTGTGGGATCACAATCTTCCGGAAAGTCATCAGTGCTCGAGAACATCGTCGGCAAGGACTTCCTTCCCCGTGGCAGTGGTATCGTCACACGCCGGCCGCTCATCCTCCAACTCATCAACCTCCCAAGCGAACGCGACGAAGACGACGATGACGAAGTCCACGTACCCCACACACCCGCAAGTGTAGCTGGCCAGCAAGAATGGGGAGAGTTTCTCCACATTCCCGGCCAGAGGTTCTACGACTTCGCCGATGTCAAGCGCGAGATCGAGAACGAAACCTCGAGGATAGCAGGAAACAACAAGGGCATCAACAGGCAACCAATCAACCTGAAGATCTACTCCCCGCACGTCCTCAGCTTGACGCTCGTTGATCTGCCCGGTTTGACAAAGGTTGGTCACGGCAACTTTTTCTGCCAGGAACACGGAGCTAACACTCGCAGGTGCCCATTGGCGACCAGCCCTCCGACATCGAGAAGCAGACACGGAATCTCATCACCGAGTACATTGCAAAGCCAAACAGTGTCATCCTCGCTGTCTCCCCCGCCAACGTCGATCTCGTAAACTCCGAGGCTCTGAAGCTGGCCCGCCATGTCGACCCCATGGGCAAGAGGACTATCGGTGTCCTTACAAAGCTGGATCTCATGGATCACGGTACCAACGCCATGGATATTCTCTCTGGTCGTGTATACCCCCTCAAGCTCGGTTTCATTGGTATCGTCAATCGGTCACAACAAGACATCCAGGGCAACAAGTCTCTCTCTGACGCCCTGCAAGCCGAGCGGGACTTTTTCCGACACCACCCTGCGTACCGGAACATGGCAAATCGATGTGGTACCCAGCTGCTCGCTAAGAGCCTCAACCAGACCCTGATGGCCCACATTCGTGACAGGTTACCAGACATCAAGGCACGCCTCAACACACTTATGGGTCAGACACAACAAGAGCTTGCAAGCTATGGCGATGTAGCCTTTACTGGTAAGGAACATCGAGGCTCGCTCATTTTGCAACTTATGACGCGCTTTGCCTCGTCTTTCATCTCGTCTATCGATGGTACTTCTACCGAAATCTCCACCAAGGAGCTGTGTGGTGGTGCCCGCATCTACTACATCTTCAACTCTGTCTTTGGTAACTCGCTTGAGCAAGTGGACCCCACCCAAAACCTCTCTGTACTCGACATTCGGACGGCTATCCGCAACTCGACTGGTCCAAGGCCTAGTCTGTTCGTGCCTGAGCTTGCTTTCGACCTCCTTGTGAAGCCTCAGATTAAGCTTTTGGAGATACCCAGTCAACGCTGTGTGGAGCTCGTATACGAGGAACTCATCAAGATCTGCCACACCTGCGGCTCTACTGAATTGACAAGATACCCCAGGCTGCAAGGCAAGCTCATTGAAGTTGTCTCGGACCTTCTGCGAGAGCAGCTTGGCCCTTGCTCGGGTTACGTCGCCTCTCTCATTGACATTCAAAGGGCATACATCAACACAAACCACCCCAACTTCCTTGGAGCTGCTGCGGCCATGTCATCCGTTATCAATGACAAGGAGCAGCGGGAAAAGAAGATCGCGATGGAGGCCGAGAAGAAGAGGCGAGAACAGAGGAGAATAAAAGAGCTCCAGAATGGTCAGAACGGGGAAGGATCTGAGGAGGGTGAAGGAGGTGAGGGAGCCACCTTGAAGGCTCTTCCTCTTCGGAAACACCAGTCACAAACTAGCCGCAGCATGTCGCCTGCTGTCGGACGGATGATGAATGGCTCTCAGAGCACTACAGCAGCGCTCAACAACCGCAACCGGTCACCACCAGGTACCGCACGCGACAGCTTCCTGAACTACTTCTTCAGCAAAGACAGCAATAACGCATACGCCAACCCACAACAGGCAGCACAAGCAGCGCTCGATAACCGGCCAGGCAGCCGACACGTGAGCCAAAATAGCGAGCCAAGCTTCGCGCAGAGCATCCGAAGAGGAGACAACAAGCAGCCTGCCCATGTGTTGGCAATGATGCCACCAGACACGGACGACTATGATGCGCCATTGAGCGCCGCCATGAGCGGTCCTCCCCGAAGTCCAAGCGTGGGACCAGAAAACTTTGAAGGCGGCTTCGTAAGTTTCTTGAATCAATGCTACGCAGACCAAATGCTAACGTTTTGACAGCCATCAAACCCCGAGCAAGCCCCTGCCCTTACGGAACGCGAAGCCCTCGAGACTGAGCTCATCCGCCGACTCATCTCGTCATACTTCAACATTGTCCGGGAGACAGTCGCTGATCAGGTGCCCAAGGCCATTATGCATCTTCTCGTCAACCACTCAAAAGACGTTGTACAGAACAGGCTCGTCTCAACGCTGTACAAGGAGGATCTGTTCCAGGAGCTCCTGTACGAAGACGACACCATCAAGGCCGAGCGCGAGAAGTGCGAGAAGCTGCTCAAGACATACAAGGAGGCAGCCAAGATTGTCGGCGAGGTTTTGTAAGAGATAGGTGTTTGGATAATGAAACGAATCATCACGGGTTCCTTGTAGGTTTTGAAAATGTGCGATTATACAGCCTTTGCCCCGCATCCGATTAGTATTACCGGGTCGTGTTGACAGTCGGGCTGGGGGCAAAGGTTGATAAAGCGTATGGAGGCGGCTACCTCATGTTAATATTGTCCTTGGCCGCTTCTCAGCGCTTTTCATTTCTACTCTTCTGTTGCCCTTCTTGATTTCCAAGGGTTGCAGGGCGTTTTTCGAGGCTCCGCTTTTCATCGTTTCTGCGCGTTCTGATGGTCTGTGTAGCATAGTGCCTGCCCATGGCGGGTCGGGGGTGGAGATGATACATGTATAGAATATACGATTGGCAACAAATCTTGTCTTCTTGGATAAGCACAGCTCCTTGATCGAAATTGTGACAATGGACCAATTGCAAACTGTGGCGATGCTGGCGATTCCCTTGTTAGTGTTTCGTTGAGTACTGGATAGTCTGGCATGAGTGGGGCAGGGTGACTGTTCAGTTAGTTCCTTGGAGTCGAGCATGCTGACCTGTACATTGACGTGTCGAGCGGACAACAGATGAAGAGATCGAACTAAAGCATGTAGATTGAAAACGTGACCAACTCGACGTCTATGTTGTACAAAAGGTACATAGTACAAGAGATTGGTATCTCGTAGATGTCGTACCACTATTGACTGCTCTCCCCCACCAAGCCGCCTCTCGGCTCGATGGGAAACGGCCGCATTATGCCCATGCTAATGTAGGAAACGGGATCACTCTCAACGCGCTTATTTGTCGGTTATGCCGAGGAGCGTGTTGAGGTCGGCGTTGGGGTCTTTCGGGTCCGCCTTGGCTGTTGGGTTGTCAGTATGTGTTGGACTGGTACAAGCGCATGTTCAGGTTGGGAATTTTTGACATGTGTCGTCGGTCTGACGTACCTTCCGATGACTTTGGCTGTTCTGAGGGGTGGTCTCGTGCCCATTGCTGCTTGGCTTGCCTGATCAGCGCCTCCTTGTGTTCCCAGTCCTTTTGTGCGGCCTTTGCCCTATCGGCAGCGGATAACGAGAGCTGGTGGTAGGCACCGTAGAAGACACCGAATCCGAGTGCGGACCATCGGAGGACCTGTAGATACCACCATTAGCCTGGCTGTTCCATCTCTAGAGCTAGTAGAAGTCCCACAAGGCCGTGTTAGAGACCTTGGCAACCGCTTCGAGGGGCATAGCGTACGTTGACACCGACGGAAGTGGACATGGTGAGGGTCGTGCGAGGACTTGCGATAGTCGTTATCGAGCTCGTCTGTGTCCAATGGCAGGTAGTCCGGGCGAGCGATGGAAATTACACCGCTGGATGGGATCCGGAGAGTCGTGACGAGGGCGTCGTGGGGGGGATGCGGGCTGTTGGGCGTTGAGCTGTGAAAGTTGAGGTTGGCTGGCGCAAGATTTGGACGGGATCGCTGGCTGCGAGCTAGTGCCCTCGTCCCTGAACCACAGCTTGGCGCGACGTTGAGCAACACCCGACGCGCCTACCTTTGTTCCTACTGCCCTTGCCCTGCTCTAGGCATAGTCGAGACGGGGAGGCTTCATTTGTCTAGCCACGGATTCCAGCCTACGCCCTCTACCACACACCAAGACACGTACTCCAACAACCATCCCGCCCTCCACATCTCCGCCATGGAGTCCACAATGCAGCAACGGCGTGATGAGATTCTCGCAAAGAAGGCCAAGTTGGCCGAGTTGAAGCGCCAGCGCGAACTGAGAAAGGCCGAGTCCGCTAGCAGGCAGTCAATGACCGGTAGCCCGCTAGGAGAAGTAGGTTGCCTACTCAAGTGTCTCACCAGTGACTGACGGCCATACCAGGTCCTCTCACCAACTCCAAGACGCAGCGAAGACCTCGACCGCAGGACCGACGTCACCAACCTCATCAACAGCATCCTCGGCGAAAGTAGACCTGGCTCTACACAGCCGGGTTCACCAGCAGGCGCAGGCCGAGCAACTCGCCCAACATCGGTAGTCAGCGCAGGACAACTGAGCAGCGACAATGAAGGCTCGTCTGGCTTCCAAGCGCCTGCCGGCATGGTGGACCGAGAAATGCAGACGCTGTCCCTTGGCCCGCTAGCCACAGTCTACGAGACTGACGGCGTTGTCACCAACGAGGTCAAGAAGGAGAAGGAGATTATCACATATAGCAAGGGTGTACAAGCAAGCATAGAGTGGAGCCCGTCAAAAGACCGCGGAGTTGGAGGAAGTGACACAGAGCGCGATGAGAGCCCGACGCGGTCACCAAAGAGCAAGCGACTAAGCCGGAGACAGAAAGAGAGGGACGAAGAGATTAGAGCGCAACTGCGGAAAGAAATCGAAGAGGAGCTCAAGGCCGTCCAGCAAGCGCCTGACGATGGTGCACCGCAGCCAGGCTCAGACGAGAACTTCCCGTTCAAGACCCTCACAAACGAAGAATTGACGGCTGTAGAGAACTCAGAAGACTTCATTGGCTTTGTGGAGCGCAGTACGAAAGTGTTGGAACGAGCGCTCGACCAACAACTTGGCTACGACATCTTGGCAGACTATGCAACTGGCGGCGTAGATGTCGACGACGACGATGAGGGTTATGGCTCCAGTGGAGGCAAGAAGGGCCGACGGATCAAGGAGATTGCACAATTCTGGGATGAACGGTGGAGCAAGAAGAGGATGATCTCGGATCTGGGCTTCTCAACAAAGGTATGAACTGAGGCAACGTCTCGCGGTTATAAGACTGACAAACTCTGCAGTTTCCAGAACTCGTCCTTGCGTCGTATACAAAGAACCCGTCCGCTCCGCACGACCCAGACGGGCTCGTACAAGTTTGGAATATGCACATGCACGACAGACCCGAGTACATCTTCCACGCTCAATCTGATATTCTCACCGCCAAGTTCTCGCCGTTCCACCCTAATCTTATCATCGGAGGCGCGTACTCAGGGCAAGTGCTGCTTTGGGACACTCGCGCCAAGTCTGCGCCAGTGCAGAAGACACCACTTACTGGTTCTGGTCACACACACCCGGTCTATTCATTAGACATTGTCGGAACGCAGAACGCGAACAACATCATCTCATGTTCGACGGACGGTGTTGTATGCGGATGGACTGTGGATATGCTGTCACAGCCTCAAGAGTTCCTGGAATTGACATCGCCACCACCAGCGAAGACAGATGATATGGCGGTAACCAGTATTGCCTTCCCTCAATCGGATCCGACCTATTTCCTTGCAGGCACAGAAGAGGGTACCATCTACCCATGTCATCGCTACGACCGCGCTGGCGCGAAGGCAGGCGTAGATGGTCGCGTGAAATACGCTGGCCATGCCGCACCTGTCATGAGCCTCGACTTCCATCCCGCTAAGGGTCAGATCGATCTAGGCGACCTTGTCCTCTCATCCAGTGTTGATTGGAGTGTCAAACTCTGGAAAGTGCGTCCGCCGGCTGCCACAGGCGCAACCAACCCTACACTTCCTGGTGCTACACAACAAGTCACCCCTGTTCTTGATATTGCCCGCGAAGATCTCGTCTACGACGTCCGATGGTCGCCGGTGAAGCCTTCGGTCTTTGCGCTCGTTGATGGAGCGGGAAGCCTCGAAGTTTGGGATATCAACGTCGACGTCGAGGTACCTGTTCAATCTGTAAAGCCTAGTGACGGCAAGCGTGGTGCGTTTACAAACATGCCGACTGGTCTTGGCTACATGAACCGTAGTCTCAACAAGTTGGCATGGGAGAGGAACGAGGGACGCAGGGTTGCAGTGGGTGGCATGGATGGCGTCGTCACTGTGTTTGAGGTGGGCGATGACCTTGGAGGTGTGCAAACACGTAGTGAGGAGTGGAGTGGCGTTAAGAGGTTGGTAAACCGGTTGGAAGGCCACGGAGATGGTGTTAACGGGAAGTGAGGTCCTATCAAATGTCTCGAAACTCGCTCCCAAGGCCTAGACAACGGTTGTGGCAGTGCTTCAATACCCATTTCTTTCAGCGGAGCATTGTTCTGGAGTCGGCAGTTTACTTTCTACCATACCCCACGTATCACAAGTTTGATTGCTGCACAGAGCATGCAGAACGCTCCAGGTGTGGCGGTGCAGCAGCTCGTGTAATACCATTGCGCACATCAATTGTCCTAGCACGTCGCGTTTTTGTCTCACAAACGGTGATCTTGACCCAAGCTATCGTCTCCACGTTGCGATGTCATCAGGGCGGCCCGTTAGCGCACAAGGCTAAAATCTGGATCAGGGAACACTTCTAGCCCCCACCAGTTAAACCTCACAGAACCCCTGACTTGCACCGCCACAGCAAGCCGCACCTCCACACCTACATCATCGAATTCAACAGGTTTCCTATCGCGAGACGGGTGCTCGGAACAGAACATTACATAGATGGATCGGTCGTCCCCGCTTCTGCCGCTACAGCATTAGCGAATAGAAGGTCCTGTTACCGCCACTTCATAAGCCTGATAGAATTAGGCTCTGGCTAGTATGTTAAAGCGTTGATGGTGCTGTCTCTTCAAGCGGGTCCGTTCTTCCGTCAACAACCTTCTCAATGAGGCGATGATGCTTGGTGTCTTGCTCAAACTTGTGCCGGCGTTGCGATGGCCCATTATTTCCACTGGCCAGGGTGGGAACCATGAGCAGATGTAATTATATCATTCCTGTTGCGATTAAGTTGTGGGTTTGGAAGACATACTGACGTCGGCCAATCTAGTGCGATAACTTCCTGCATTTCGGCGGTTAAGGGCTACTTTCCTTGCAATACCACGCCCGTCCCAGACTATACATGCCTTTGCGAACAGTACCTATGGCGCGTCTCATGCTTTGACAACCATGCATTCAATCCGGTATCCCATCCAGATCGGCCAATCGCTGAAAATTACATGAACGACTATTGTCTCGCAGCCGGTAGCATTGGCGCGGAGAAAGTACAACGAAACCATCAGCGTCAACGGAGACAGATCGGCGATCTCTTATCCAGTATTGTTGGCGATGTTTCTTCAGTGTTGTCCAGCAACGGCGTTGCGGTCCCTACGGCTATCATAGAGAGTGTAGCGGGTAGTGTGGTGAATGCTTTACCCACACCAGCAAATCCGACGAGCATTGCTGCTGAGATTACCGCGACGAGCGCAACAGAGGATGCAAGCAGCACAGCCAGCAGTACTGCACAAACGTCGACAGGAGCATCATCAACCAGAAACGAGGCCTCAAGCACCGCATCACAGGGATCAACTTCATCGAGCTCTGCCGCAGCGGCATCATCACCATCTTCAAATTCAAGCTCTGGACCATCAACAGGTCTCATAGCTGGTGTAGTGGTAGGAGGAGTCGCAGCTCTAGCCTTGATTGGCATTTTTATCCTCCTTCTCCTCCGTCACAGAAAGAGGAAATCCAGAACGGCAGCCATGAACGACAAGGAGGCCAGTGCAGCAGCGTCTTCGTCGTCCGATCATCCCCCACCAACACAGGGTGCATATGCCCGTGTCCCACAACAGAATGCGTACCCTACCACAACCACACTCCCTACGCAACCCGATTTGTCCTCGACACAGCCGACGACAATGATGTCTCCAGTTTCGCCTATAACACCAGGAGGCCAAGCACCATGGGCGTCAACATCAACTTTCGGAGGCGCAACAGCAACGGGAGCCGGAGCTGGAGCTGCAACGGCAGCCGCAGGGCATGCACTACACAGCTCCACCCCAGCGCCTAGATACTCCGACGAAAAGCCACCACAGCGCCACCAATACATCGATTCGAAGATACCGGAAAGTAACGAGATGCCTACAAACGCAAATGTCTGGGAAATAGATGGTAGGGAAATGCCGCCACCTAGCGAACTCGATGCAGGAAAGAGAGACGGGTTGAACTTGGGGAACATAGGAAGTAATGCACAGGCACAAGGGCAGACTCAGCAACAAGAATATGTTGCGTACAGGCCGCCGAGCGTAGGGAATGGACAGTCGAATTGGAGTGGACAGAATGGCGAGTTTTCGGGTAACAAACCGGTTGGTCAAGCCATTTGAGTATGCTGTACTATATAAGAAATGAAGTCATGAAACCTTGTATATACTTGAAGTCAGACTTGTACTACGTCAATGGCTTTAACAAACCTTACCGAACAGACCATACTCCTACCACTTGTGAAACACCAGGCGACGGGCAGTGTTGACTGGCGGGAGGGGTATGCCGACGCTGCATAACCGATACCGATACCTATGGTCTGAAGCGGGTCGTTGCGTTCGTGAGGTAATGGAGGGAGATACGCTAGTTACTGAGGGTCCACGGATAGCGCCATGTGGGGTATCTGGGGAGTGCTCGAAATACTTCAATCGCGATATGAGTGTACCTAAACGATTAATTCTAAAGGTCTTGTCTTTCGTAAAACCTTCCGCGGAAGGAGGGAGATGTCGCTACTTATATGTCTCTTATAAGATATTATTGTGTAGCACCTTGGTTTGTGGAGTGGATCTCACTGTCGGTGCCGGCGAAGCGTGGTGCACAGGGTATTATCAACTATGCAAATTCTGTAGCTCGAGAGCTTGTGAACGTATATGTGTTCTAGGAGAAAGCACACTCGATGTTTGTTACTTCCGTTGATCCCTGAGCCAATTTGCACGACGGGAAAGAAGCATGGAGTTCGTTTGTCATTACCAACTGGGGTAGGAACAAGAGAAGTGAAAAGTGAGGGTAGTTCTGAGCGCTTCGTGGACGACACTGGAGAACATGACGTGAGGGTAGAAATGAACCCGTTGGTCTGTCTATGGTCTAGTAGAACGAAAGACGATATGCCTGCATCTCCTGCTAATCAGCTTATCTATCCGGCTGTGGTGAACTTCGTGGCGTTTACAGATCACAAAGATATTGTGCACAGTTCCATCTCTCCTTCTATGAAGCTCCTTCCCAATCAAGTAGTTTGTAGAAAGAGTATGGCTGAATGTTCTACCCCTACTCTCCTGTCTACCTGTTTATGCATTCTTGAGTCGTAGCCTGTAATGACTTTCACCCTCTTTCCAAAACCTCAAACTGGAAAATCATCGAAGGGACTAGGGAACTCCATATCAAAGCCATAGTCGTGGAAAGCCCAGTCCATCTGAGAGTAGGATGCGTCGAAGCTTGGCCATATCTCACTGAGCTGCCTTTGTAAAGCTTCATCGCTATACAAATCTCCTACTTGGTCTGTAATGGCACTCATGTTGGCGGATGTGGGTAACTTGGAGACTGTGGTGGTACCAGACGTTGGTCGATGTGCAACTTGTAAGCCCCTCAATGTCCCATCACTTATCAGTCTGTGAAGTCGCTTTGCAAGCTTAGCTACACCCCTCACGCTGGTCCATCGTTGGCTGAGACAATCTAGCGCATTGCAACATCTTTGGAGGTCTTCTCGTGCTGCAATCATATCTCTTGCGCCATCATGTAATGCACGGTAGATGACCGTAGTAGACATGGACATCGCGTAAGGTACTAGTGGAAGCGGAGGGAGGCCTTCACACCCTTCGCGAGAGACGATTGCAAGTACTCGATCCGCTGACTTGAGACGGCGGGTGTATTGTACAGTGCCTGGTCCATTGTAGCGACAAGATAACATGGCGGCAACATGATACCATGTCTCCAAGTATGCTATTCCCTTAAGCGAGTTGAAGGATTGAGTTTGGGGAACGTCTTACCTTGATGTGACATGTGGAACTCATCGAAACTACTTCCCCCCATAACTTCTGGGAGTGTCGGAAATTCCCAGCAACCATCAACCATCGTCGTGGAGCTGGCTTTGTATGCTTTTGTTGCGATAGTCATTAGGTCTCCGAGCCTTAGGGCCACAGTCATGATTTGAGAGCGATAGCTATCCTTGCTGGGCAATATCCGTTCCACGCCAATATCTGCATCATCAATAAAGAATGGCGCGGCTGCCATGATTGGTTTACCCAAACGATCAAAGTTTCGAAGTGACCACCACAGATACTTGCACTCGGTATCATCAGGATTGCCAGGTATTTTTAGATGTATACACATGGACCACGCTTCGCAGATGGCCTGGGAAAGATAATTTGAGGCGCGGTCAACGCCGGCTAGTCCATCGTTGTGTAAGTGCATCAGTGCCAGAATCTGAATCTTGATAATGCGGTCGGGCTCAAGATCTGCTTTGATAGCAGCATCTAGTCCGGCCAGTAGTTTTGACGCAAAACCCAAAGGTTCGAGCAGGGGACCGGACTCAGTCAGGCGCAAGAAAGGAACAGCGTGCTCTGTTTTGCATACCACGAGACATATTGCCCTCACCAAATATATAGATGCGTTTCCGTTGCTGTGATGGCGGAATACAGCAGGGCCATCCGCAATAGGCACGAGATCGTCTAATGTCGAATTATACAGAGACAAGAGAGCATCTGTAGTTGTTTTGGGCAGTGCGGTGAATGCTCCTTCTTCTTGGAGATACTTTCGATATGATTCAGATAAGTGTGGCGGCGCGGCGCGAATTTTGTGTTGCTTGTACCATGCCAGTCTGCGCCGTGGTTCGCATGCGACAGATGGACTAGGCACTATAGCTTGTGGAGTAGGCCGCGATGCTACCAGATGAGGTGTCTGTGCTAAAGTGTTTATCCCTGGTTCGGCATCCTCTGACAGAGCTGTCAGAACGGATTCAGGGTTATACTCGCTCACGCGACCGGGGCTTGGGGTAGATTCGCTGGTATCGGTTCCTTGATAAGGCCTTTGAACTCGTTTTTCGGCTCTGTGAGTTTGTTCCTTCCTCCTGATCCCGCGATCCTCAAGGTGGTAGCACCGTTTCTTGCGTGCACGACAAGTTAGGCATGCTGCAGTCGTCCGTTTCTTCGGAACCTTTTCGCCCGACTGCCATACGATCTCCATGTTCGAGCAGCATCCCCGGTTTGAAGCTACTTCAAAGCATGCAAGACGCGGGCGCAACCCGCATTAGGCAAGATGTGAAGAAGGTGAGCTGTCGTCGTACCCGTCTCAAAAGGAGAAACTACCATCTACCCCGCACTAGAAGACGACCCACCATCTCTACGCGCGACACATGTAGGAGCATTGTTGGCCATATCTTGGTTGATGCGCCTCCTCCCGACCCTGATTTGGATGTCTCCGCCTCCCCACTCTCGCTATTGGAGTGAAGTGCGGGGATAATGACCACTAATCTCCTTCTGGGTCGGCAGGCTTAATCTCGTACACTCTCGCAGTTCCGCTACTCCACCTGAACACCCACAATGAGAGACACGATCGTTAACACGAGCAGTTGTTTTGCCACGACGACCTTTGATTTGATGCTTCACTGGTTCCGGTACATGGGTGTGGTCTTCTCTTCATCAATGTAGACACACAGTAAGATGTAGTATAAAAGCAGTTCCATGGTCCGTTTCATCAACATCAGTCAACCACTCCAATTTCTTGTACCTTTTACCATTAAGTTACGTGCCTAGTTTTCAAAGAAAAAATGGCTTCGTCCCAAGTCAAGCGCTATGTCATTGTAGGCATGGGCGTCAGATCCGCATTTTACTACCAAAGCATCATCCAAGATTTTAAATCGGTCGCTGCAGTAGTGGGCATATGCGACACGAACCAGACGCGTATGAAAGCTGCCAACGATCGAATGGTCGAGCTGGGCGGCGAGCGTGTCTCAATGTATAAGGCAGAAGACTTCGACAAGATGGTCAAGGAGCAAAAGGCTGACGTCGTCATCGTTACCACCATCGACAAATTCCATCATGTATACTGCATCCGTGCCATGGAGCTGGGCTGCGACGCAATTACTGAGAAGCCAATGACCATCGATGAAGAGAAGCTTCAAGCTATGATCGATGCCGAGAAGAGGACGGGAAAGCAAGTTCGTGTCCTCTTCAATTATCGATATGCGCCTCATCACACCAAGATGCGCGAACTTATCGACTCAGGCGTTATCGGCGAGGTTTCGACCGTGCATATGGACTGGATCCTGGACTGCGCACATGGATCCGATTTCATGCGCCGATGGCATCGGAACAAGGACACCAGTGGTGGCATTCAGATGCACAAGTCGATCCACCACTTTGATTTGGTACATTACTGGCTGAATACCGAACCGGAGAATGTCTACTGCGTTGGCAGCCTGCGATTCTACGGTAAAGAGAATGCGGAACGACGTGGAGAGAAGAACCTCGGCGAGCGGTATCTCAACAACGAGGCTGCCAAAGACGACCCGTTTGCCATTCACATCGATCAAAATGCCCAACTAAAGAAGCTTTATTTGGAGGCTGAGCACGAGGATGGCTACATTCGTGACCGTAACTGCTTCGCTGAAGGTATCACCATTGAAGACAATCTCTCTATGGTAATCAAGTACAAGAACAAAGCTGTCATGACGTACAACACGTATGCTTACGCTCCATGGGAGGGTTATCGTTGCGTTTTCAACGGCAGCAAGGGCCGCATTGAGATCAATGTCGTCGAGGGCGGATACTCAGCTGGTGGCGAGACCATCACCAACGAAGGGCTTGGTGAACTTGAAGCCAACTACATACAAGGTGGTGTGGAGAAGACGAATATCGTCGTCTATCCCTTGTGGGGAAAACCGTACGTGGTGGATGTCGTCAAAGGCGAAGGCGGCCATGGCGGGGGAGACCCTCTGCTACTAAAGGATGTCATCGTAGGAAGCGAGGGCGAGGACAGCTTTAAGAGAGCTGCGTATATTCGTGATGGCGGAAATGCTGTTCTTGTCGGCGTTGGTGCAAATAAGTCCATGGAATCCGGCTTGCCTATACAAGTACAGGATTTGGTTAAATGGTAGTTTCCAGTCTTTCATATGGGTTTACATGAATGGAGATTGAGTTTCTAGTCAGTGAGCTGTTGGTGGTCCACTCACATGCATCGTCAAAGGATCCTAGGACAAGTAGTATCTCATTCACTGATGGCCGCCACAGCACGCCATCAGCCTCGCACCAACATGATCGTTCTTATAATAGTCATTGGTGCATACAGAATATTGCGCATCCTTTCGGCTTTGCAAACCTCGGGGTCCGGCAGTCACTTCGCGTGCGGCAGCATTGCGGAGACCCGAAACGAAACAACACTAAGTGACTCTATCCAATCACATGTCGTCTACAGAGCTTCTCAGCCAATCACAGAACGAGAGGCAAGTTGTTTCACCACGTCAACGCGATACGCATCGCTGTTTGCGCTGGAACTGTACGTCAGACGTGTGAGCACTACATGCTCAATAAGGCAATTTTGTGGGTTGATAGTGATGATCCGGAGAATTGATGCGGGCCCAGGGTCTTCGATATCCAAGTAAAAAGAAGCCATCGCCAAAAGCTTGAAACTTCGTCATTCATTATTCGACATCTTCGAAGAGTGCAACAGAAAGATCAAGTATTGTGTCGGAGTCATAATTATCGCAAGAGATAAGCACTACGAAACCGAAGACCTACGAAACAGACGTACTCAACAGCACCATCCAATATGCGCAAGTCCTCCCTCCGAAAAACAACTCTCCTTTCCCTCCTCGGTGTTTCCTCCGCACAAACGTCATCTTGGGGCGAGCCATTCACTGTAGAACCCGCAGCAACAACTTCAACAGACAACCTGCTTCCCTCTGCCTCCCCAACACCAACATGGGGTGACGCCTTTAGTGTTGACAACAGCGCTGTGATTACCCCATCAAGCTCGCTCCCAACATCAGATGCCGCAGCGCCGAGTCTGGCAGTCGATACGTCATCACCGATACCTTCCAACGTAGTAACATCTGATGTTACAGTAATTAGTGGAATACAGAGTGTTGTCGCATCGAGGAGTGCCAGCTTTGATACAAACGCTAGTACGCAGAGTGTGACAGGGACGAGCAGTGCGGAAAGTACACAGAGTGCGACGAGTAGTGGGACAGCGGCTGTAGAGGCTACTGGCGCTGCGGTGCCGGTGAGAGGGTTCAAGAAGATGGGTCTTGCAGGCGCGATTGCTGGGGCTGCGGGGGTGATGTTTGTGTAGAGGGATGAGAGCGAAAAGAGGACGTAGGGAGGTGACAATCGATCAGACAACTGGGGTATCTGGGAAGGATAATAGTACTGATGATCTGATTGTGGCTTTTCAATTGGAACAATGAAGCGGCATCGACTTGTGTTCGGAGTTGAGAAGAGCCATGGGAATGAAATTGAGTATCCTTGGTGTTTGGCAAATTTAATTATATGTTGAAGAGCAGCATCTTCCAGAGGTTGACTGGAATGTGATTCTCAGACGCTATATCGTTGCATCAAGAGTGTCCGCTACAAGTTGACCAAGCATAAGCATGAATGACTGACAGGATTGATCCTACCATACCGCATGTAATATTAGGTAGCGTGCTGTTGAATCAGTTTGTATATAGATCTAGATATGATGCAGTGCATGGAAAGTGCAGAGGCAATACATAGCGTATTGATGAGGAGCACAAAGCTTTCGACTCGACTTGGCAACCATCACCATGGTTGTTACAGCGACGACCATACGACCTTAGTAAATCTGGGTAAACATGTTATGTAAATGCAAATGTTAACAACGATGATTATGTCAAGAGCCTGGTCATAATACCGAAGTACCAGCGAGTACAATAAAGCCGGCTAGCGGAAGCGAAGAGAGTGACTAGGCGGACAAGAGGCATACTGCATGATGGCGCCCAACGTTGGGCTACGGACTCTGCGGGTGGCGGCGGGCTAAACAAGAGAGATTCGATGCTAGGACGATTCTGCAAAAGTGCGAAGACTCACCGCGCACTGCTTGAGGCTTGGGTTCAGCTGCGCTCCATATTCCCCAGCTCGCCACCGTTTTACCACCCTTCCACATCCTTGTTTGGTCTTCCTTTCTCAGTGCCACCTAGAAATACTCTTCGACGCGGTCTGAGCCGTATGCGCCTTGAAGGTGCGCAATATATTGTATGGTGCATCCATTGTTCTCTAAGCTCCAAGAGTAACCGGACATATCAGCCTCGGCTTGAGCGCCACTGAACGGCGCTAATGCGAGGAAGTAATGGCAAGACGCTTGTTGGTTAGGGAAGGCTGTTGACCGCGTGATGTGAAGTATTTGACGCGCAGCACACGAGCAAGCAGTGTTACCTGTCTATGCTCCTTTGGGTTGGTATGTTGGTGGCTTGCCTGGTACACCGGTGTAGACTTGCGCAACATTTCTACCTAGTCGTGATAGAACTCGGTGTATGCCGGTTGGCTAGTCTAGTGGTGGCGATGCGAGTATCGCTGGTGAGAAGCTCTGAGGCTGTGTGTTCACGGGGCCGCCGTGAGTGCTGTAGTGCTGCAACCTTTAGAAAGGCAGGATACGGCGAACATAGCAGCTGAGGAGGTGTAGTTACGGTGTGGCAACGAGCAGCGGGTTCTTGCAGCTTGCTTATGCGTCTGTGGAGAGGTGGGAACTGATCCCGCTGTGGGGTCGCTGCAGGGCAGTCAACCACGGTTTCCAGCGCGCAACGAGCGAGCAAGCAGATGCGTTCCTCAACTCCGCGTTTCAAGTTCCTCAGGTGGGTGGAGATCCAAGCGTCATGCTGCGCACAAGCCAAAGGGCGATGAACCCAATGCTGCAGACAATCAGGTTGCTGCGAAGGACGTGCGGATCATGGCGCGCATGCGACGCACAATGACAGCTTCGTACCATGGTACTGACAGGCATGACGGATGTGGTACCACGCGGATGTTTGGTCGTGACGTCTGTGCTAGAAGAAGGATGATCTTGCGGGTAGGATGTGGATAAGAAGCATTCAAAAAAAAAAAGCAACATAACATAGGCCCTGTTTCATAGTAAGTGTGCCTCAAATGGAAGCGAGGGGATTCGAAGAAGCAAAAGTACATCCGACACATCATGAGACAGAAAGCATACAGCAATCATGCTGGTCAGTGGGAGAACAAATCAGGCAAATGCTTCCATATTATCATTTTCTGCTACGTCCATACAAGCTCTTTGCATAGCGTTCCCGTCCGACACATCAGATCACGGACGCCAATGCTCGCGTGACTAGATTGACACTAGATGATAGAGGGGGTTCCCACAGATTCCAATGCTAATATATCGTAAAGGGACAATTAAACTATGAAGTCGTGAAGTGAAACGCTTAAGCGAAGTAGGCGAAAGCAGCGGCGGCACCGAACATGGCAGCGATGGGGCTGCCGATGAGGTTGGCACCAGAGTCGGTAACCTCAGGGAGGCTAGCGCTGCCAGTGGCAGAGCCGGAGGCGGAGCGAGAGAGGGTAGCAGTGGAGACAGTGGAGTTGACACCAGCAGAGGGGCTGATGGAAGCGGAAGCAGATGCGGTGGTCGCAGCGCTGGTGATCATGCTGGACTTGGCGCTCTCAATGGCACTGCTGATGGCAGCAGAGGCGGATGAGGCAGCAGATGAGGCAGCGGACGAAGCAGAGGCAGCGGCAGAGGAGATAGCAGAGGAGACAGGGCTGTCTTCCTCGTCAGAACCACCAGTGAGAGGGAACTGAGCGGAGTAGTTGATGGTGGTTCCCTGCTGGATCTGGAGAGCGTAGTCGGCCTCGTTGGGGAGGGACTTCTCGGGGGTCCACTCGAACTTTCCACCGGTTGCGGTAGCTACGGTTCAGTTAGCATTGTGGACATCAGATTCTAATAGGATCTGAGACATACTGGTGAGAGTGCCGACAGTGTCAAGGTCGGTGGACTTTCCCTGGCGGAGGATGAAGGTAGTTGGGGTGTCGTCCGCAGGAGAGTAGGTGATGGTGTAGGTCTGGCCAGCAACAACGCCCTCAGCAGGGAATTGGTTGATCTCAAGGGCAGCGACGGCGGCAGCGAAGGCCGCGGCGGAAAGGATGGTCTCGAAGAAGCGCATGTTGACGGTAGTTGGATTGATTAGAGTATTAGAACTGTAGTAGCTGTATGGGTATATGTAGTTGGATAGAGAACGAATGACTGTGTACAGCGATAGTGCGACGTGAGAGTGAAGAAGAAAAGACGGCGGAGGGCGACACGGTATAATAAAGAATACGCTGACACCTAACGGTGACTTGGACCGGATCGAGACGCCAAAGCGACGGCAGAGGATGCAAAATTGCCGACCGAATGTGGTATAGTTAGCTCTGAAGCTAATGAAGTAAATGCTCATGCGCCCAATCGGCCGTTCGCCCAGTGAGACGCTTGGCCAGGAGCCCCCTTTTCCTCCTCACCCACAGCCCTCGAGACGCATCTCGCCTAGGAACAGAGCGAGCGTCTAGCCTTGGGGCCACTCACCGACGAAAGCATCCCGGCGCATGAGGAGCACACCAACGGCCGCCGTGCCACGATGCTAGCTGCTTGGAGCTTAGAGAAGAAGCCACCCAATAATCCGGGGAAATTCAGGGGCCTCGCTGCCATCCTGCTGTCGCCTGACCTGCAGGAACACGATAAGGCGAGTTCGAGTACAAAAAGATAGGGACGGACTGTTGTTCGAAGTCGTCGACGTTGGATACGATGTTGCGGGCGCGCGAGGCACAATCGCCATCGCTGCTGTACCTGCATTGGCGCCAACGGCCCCCCCTGTTACCTCGGCCGCCCCAGCACATACCATCTGACTTTCCCTGCCTGGCAAGTCAGCTCCACCACCACCTTATGCGAACGCCGGTTTCGCACATGACCTTAACCGCCGGAGGGCGACGTCATCTCCAGCCAGGGCGACTCCAACCAGCGCTCTGATCGCCCCCCTATCGATATGCGCCGACGTGACTGCGATCTGCGACCGTCCCTGGACAACTTTGCCAGCTTCGGGGCCAGACTATGTGGTCGGTGCGACACCGGTGATGAGCTTACGGTTTTTAGCACGGAGCCGATATGCCTCTAGACGGCCCGACATTTGCGCCCCACTGAAAGGAGATTTGATTATGAACTGTGCAGCTGGCTCGACTTGACGAAGATGTTCGGCAGTAGAGACGCGGTAGAATTGAGTGAAGCGGTCAACGTTCAAGAGAGGGATATCGCAGCTCGCTGTTGCATATGTGCGCTGGGTACAGCTGGACGCTGCCGAGAAACAGAATATGCTATGTCTGCGTACATTATGCGCGCTTTGCTTATAGTAAGCTAAAGCATGTCATCCTTACAGGTCTGCGGCGAAGCCAAATGTATGCCCAGCATCGGCAATGTGAAACCAAGAAAGACAAGAAGCTCAATGAAACCTAGAGAAAAAGAGAAGTAAGTGGATGTAGTCATACATGTACGAAGAGAGGGAGTATCCTGGAATGTTTGCATGTTTCTGGATGTAAACCTCTTGCATCGTCGATTTCACTGTGCTGCAGGCTCAAAATCTTTATGCGGAAATCCATCGCCCATATGCAAGATGTTCGAGAACATGCCGCTAATAGTGTGAAACACAACAACGTTACTAGCAACGAAGAAGCTCGTTTATATGAGCTGTACCCCGACTATATCGCATATAAAAGGTATATCCTATATTCAGCATTAACAAAGTAGCAAGCACAGGATGTTGAATTCTTTGAGGTAGACTATGAGTATGTGACTGAGAAGTATCTTTTTTTCGATAGCTGGGTTTACAATGGAGCTCGCTTTTACTGAGTCTTACCCAACATACTGCGACCTAAGGTTCCATTGAGATGCAGTTGACGATCGCCAGGTTTTCACTATGGAGTTCCTACGAACCATGTCCACTCTTACTCGTGCCTGTTTGCTCTGACCTGAGCTCGATGCTTGTCGCGACTCCAATTTCATCCAATTATGCCCATCGTCCTCTGAGAGAACACTTCCTCCTCCCACTTGGCCTCATTCTTAATGAACTCTTCGGCGTCCTCGGGGAAAGTGTCATCCATCGTCTCAAGCGGGGTCTGGCTCTTCTTTCCACGTGACTTGGGAGTCACCTTCTTTCTGGAGGGGGTCGCATCGTCGGATCCTGAAGAAGCGGCCTTTCTCTTGTTGGGTGTTGCTGGGGTAGTCTGGCCTATACACTGTTAATGTCGTGGTGATGAGAGGTCGAAAGAGTATCAGTACTCACCACGCTTATTGACAGGTGTCACGGCTTGGAAGGTCTCGCCCTTTTCGGCACGGGCTTTCAATTCCTTTGCCTTGGCTGTGATCGTGCGGAATTGATGCTCGAAAGAGCTTGCAGTACGTGTGCCGTCAAGAGCCGACATCATCTCATACTGAGCCTTGGTGATGGTGGTACTGCCTAAGGCCATAAGGAGGACAGAGACGCAGTCGGCTGGGACCACCTTCTGGCCATCGAGAGTAGCAGCTTTGGGGGGCATATTGAAGACCTTGTAAGAAGTGTGGCCTTAAGAAATATGATGCTGTTGGGCGGTGCTCGCGTTGGCCACGTAAGATGAAACTGCACTTCAAGCTTCATCCTGCTACAAGAGAATGGAATTGAGAGCCAGAGGACGAGCTCAAATAGTCAGGCGCCTCACTGTTGCGCTTGCGTGGTGAGATCACTCGTTGTCAAAACAGGGCGGTGGTGACGGTGAGAATCTGTGGAGCCTCACCACTCACCTTCACATAGAAAATGTAGGCTCATGTCTGTCTGCGAACAAGATATAAACATCATGCTCTAAGTGCCTGAGACAATTGTACAGCTCAGCCTATCCGTACTTATAGTCATTGTGGTTGTGGCTTGCAACGTTGTGGGGAGATACTCAATGTACAATGGGTAGTGATAAGTACTGGATCAGTTCAAAGACTATAGAAGCTCATGCCACTGATCACCCTATCAGACGCTGAAAGCTTTCTCCTTTAATTGTATAGTTTCTAGCGGTGTTACCTTTCCCAGAAATTGCCCGTCCTTAGCCCAGTCGCCCATATCCATCAGCCTGTCTCTCTGGACCTCAAGTTCTCGGTTCATGACATCGCTGTTCGGATTGCCAATACTTCTTTTCAGCTCCTCTATCATTTCTTCTGCTTTGGCCTTCACGCTCTTTGTGAATGCATTAGTCGGTCCATGGCTCAGGTGCGCAACATCCAGTACCTGCTTCACCAGCATCATGGCGATGAGGCCCATGTTCACCCCTGGCGCACTCACGCCCTCTTCGGTGCTAGCTAGATATGCAGCCAGCATTGCCATCTGCCATATCTGGACTACCCGAACCGGGTGAAAAGGGACCGGATGCAACTTAGGAAGGATGTGCTTGTACCGCTTAGCGCATTGTGTCCATGCCTCTTGGTACTTCCCTACGGAGAGCAGGTGTACAATCAGATCGTCACGGACCGCGGCATACGGTTGACGGTAAACTGGGCAGAATCTCGACTCATAGCCTATCTTGAGAGTTTCCTGAAGCGCTTCGATAACAAGCTTTGAGTCAGCCATTCCTTGGAGCTGGGTATACAGTTCGAAAGTCTTCTCCTGGCTCCCGGCCATTGCTTCCATTTCGTCTTTGCCCAACACGAACCGAGGATTTGCTGGTACTAACCAGTTGTCTTCTTGGAGAGTAGCTTTCTTCTGGCATTTTGCACAGCGACAGGTGAAGAACCATCGTGATCGAAGTTCTTCTTGCCGCTTGTGGTAGGGGTTGGTAGCGTCAATGTAAGAGATGAAGATTTCTTTGTCTTTCCTGATAGGCCGTAGGGTACGAATGCTCACCTGCGGTCCGTCCATCATGATGTATGCATTGGGATCGCAGGAATGATTCATGTGGCAGAGCATAGGATCTATCATAATACCCAGAGGATCGAGTGTCGGTGTGATCAATGTAAGGGCATTCGACATGATCTAATACGAGTTAGCAAGAGCGCTTGTAGGTCTCGACGAGCAACTTACTCGGCCATACATCGCGGCAATAAAATCCTTGTCGAACATGTTTTGTGACAATGAGAACTGACCAGCACCCATTGCCATAAGTTCGATGTTCTCATAGGTTCCACTGCGCTTGAAATCATCGATGTGGGAAGGTAAGCGGCAAAGCAGCTCCCATTCTTCATCGGAGATGAGATTGTGCTTGCGTCTGATGAGTAGTTCCACGCACGCGAGGAAAGCTTTGGGGAGATGTCTACCAACCATGGGCTTCAGCGTTTTGCACTCATGCTTATGACCCCGATTCCACGCGTCTTTTTGGCACGCCTGATGCATCTTAGTTTTGTGTGTTGATCAAGCATCAGCTCGACATACCTTGCTGCAGTATTGAAATCTCTGGCATGCAGCACATTTGTTCACTTTCGCCCCTTCAGGTACATACAGCCTCGTTCCAGTCGATGAACCTTCAGTCCAGAGGTAACAATTCGCACAGGTGTCGAGTAGCCGTTCGGTCTCTAGTGAGCCAACAAGCGGGCGCTTGAAGTTGGCAATCTCTTCGCCGGCCCCGAATCTTTGGTTAGCGAAAACACCATTACCGATGCTTTCACCTTTGCTGTTTACGCAAACATTCGATTTGGAGATATAGTAAGGTGCTGGTGCTGCTACAGAAGACGCTGGCTCGGTTGACATGATGTGGATAAAAGGTCTTTGTTTGTTGGCACAATGAGGATGTTCAATTTAGACTCTCTCACGACGCGTATCGTGCGGCGTCATGATGTCTCAGACCAGTAGTTATCTCGCGTGAAAACGTGAGCTTCGTAGCTCACTAGCCCGCTTAGGCTTAGACCAACAAGCTCCCTTGCCCCTCCCTGCCCCTCGACTTTCCTGCGCATCTTCAGCATCGAGCCTAGGTCCATTGCACCAGATTCCTTATACGATCGCGTTCGTCACCAATTCTTGGATGCACAATACCGTGGAAAAGTCAATACAACACTACATAAATATCATCCCTATGATGTCAGATTGATGAAGCATGAATACTGTTAAACTTGCAAAACACCGGGTAACGGACTTTCGCTGCAGCGTGTCCTTACTGCACAACCCCTTTCGCAACAAGGAATCTCTTCCGAAGCATCAAAGTCAACATCATAGCGCCCAGCACAAGCACTGGTATGAGGAGATAGCGCGCTGCCTGGAGCTCTTTACAAAGAGAGTCTGCGAAGTTGTTCCCATTCTGTTTCGAAAACGCGCATGCCCAGGTCTCGACAGTAAGATATCCGGAATATGTACTAGTCTCGCTCTTGACGGCACGACCCCACTCAACGAAAGTAAAAATGAGTACTATGAGTGGACGACCGAGGATGAAGCTTGCGACGAACAAAAGGCCATTGAGATATGCGGCTTGTTTGTTAGTCTTTGCACCGTCAGCATGTTTCTGTAGACCGCTATCAAGTGACAGACATACTGAGCCTTGTTTCCAGGGAGTCAAACTCCATAATAGAATGAAGAGCAGCATATCGACTAGGCCACCACATCCAGGCCAGAAAAGGAACGTCATGCCAGTCTTCTTAACACTAGATGGCAAGATACTATCAAGCTCATCTTTCAATGCTACTGCGTGTGCTGTAAGACCAAGGATGGCAATGCAGAGGCCGCCGATGAGCGCATTTAAAATGTGTATGAGAATATTGGTATTTGACATCGTGCAGCTTCTCGCTTCATGAGTAGAGAGGTGAAAGCCAACATCTTTTCACACGAGGAAAACTTGCAGCTTATGTGTCGTCTTCCATGTCAGCAAGAAAGCGTGCCTCCAGTTTCTCGATCTCTATAGCGGGGGCTGGCGTTCGCATCGGTAAGACTTTCGCATTCGCTTAAGCCTGTCGCCAAAATCTCGTTCGTCATCGTACATTGGCAACATTTCCCAGCCGATAGCATGGCATTCTTGATCGATGCACCAAATTTGCTGTCTAGACCTGTCGTGGATATCATAGCGTTTGCGGGTACCCAGGCCCCGCAGACATGACTGAAGCCTCACTGAAGCCGGGCGTTTATGCAGACGCTCCAAAACAAACTCTCTAGCCGACGTACTGTACTCTCCATACTGTACGACTGCGTATGTTTCTACAGCGAACACTGAAGAAGAAGTGGGGCTCTTCCTCAATTCCGTATCAAAACAAGCTTGTTTCGCTGACGAGACACCTAAGAACAAGAATAACGAGGAGTACCGCACTGAAGCGGCGAGCAGTTCATATACACACTTTACTATGAAACCGGGCAAGCATAGAGGAAAACTCTGAAAGTAGGTCATGGAGATAACTGCAATGAGAATACTCCAACTGATTGCTCACAAACTCGAAGGCATGCGGAGATCTAGACAACAAGCACGTCTTGAACAGGGGCTTAGCTTACTTAAAAGAACAGACAGGGTTGGGAATGCTCACAGAAACTTCTTCAAGGAGACACAGTACAACTTCTAAGTCAAATATATCCTGTTTCAGAGACTTCCACACAGAAGATAGGTGGATCGCCGGCGGCGACATCGTAGCCTTTTTTCACATGAAGGAAATTCAGTTCCGGAATGATGAGGTGAAAAGAAGATCCAGCTACAGTTCGTTCCACAAGCGATACCGCACCAACATACACTGACTGAAAAAAAGTGTGCGACGTAGCCATTCGCATACCGAACTGCTGAAAGGACGAAACATTACACTAAGGCCTTGAATACTGACTTGAGAGAGTGAGAAGATGCGATCGTGGTACGATGCGGGATTTAACGAAATGTTGTAAGTGCTATGAATGTGAGAGTCTCCGTGCTGGACCAACACAAGGTGGCACGGGCTTCATTAAGACGATTATGGAGCGACTAGAGGGCAGGCGGAGGTAGCAGGAAAGGACGGACGACATACGATGGGACCTCGAGCCTTGGCTCAAAACAACCAAAAGATCCACTCTTGTGTGTTCGAGAGCGGACCAACAGTTCTTCTCCGATGTATTAACATCACCTCCTCAGCACAGGACGCGTACAGACGAACACCAAACACGCTTCATGTTCTGGTACCGGTAAGAACTATTGATCGAATAAAGAATGACGGTGCTGAATATGATGGGAAACTTTCTGATTACTGCCATAGTGCCAAGATTGAACACGCGTCGACCCCGTGCTCAGTTCTGCTTTCGCGATCGATATCTATACACTGTTAGCCGTGTATGCAAATATAGAATGCCGGTTCCACTAATGCATATCCTATACGCTCTCCTCTTCCAAATATCCGAAAATGTTCCCACTCCAATCCATTTCCAGCACCAAGTTCGCGACGGGTCGCGTAATCTGTGTCACACCTTGTCACTCGTCCTTAAAGCTCGCATATACTTCGATCGTGAAACCATGTATAAAGTTCACATTGGGGTAGTGCTGTTAATCAAGAAGTATCTTTACCAGAGTATGGACAGTCGCTCTCTCTTTCGGAAATAACACGACGCTTGGTCATGGGTAACCTGGAGATGGTCGAATCTGCCCTGTCGATTAGGCTAGTGTCGCAAGGGGGTACTACGATACTCCACGATGATCTGGAGAAAGCTACTTTAGTGGGTGTACGTCGGCAATCAGCTTAGTGGCATCATGACTTATTCAGGCTGATGGAAGGAAGATTTCGAAAGGGGCGATACATGCCTTGTCACATGCGCAGCAGGTCAGCCGAGGGAGAAGATGCATTCCATAAGCGTGCTATGTGAGATCCGAATGTCGAGTAGATGTGCTGTGTATTATTGGATCGTGTTATATACCAGATGCGGGCTGACCTGCTCGGCGACTGTACCGAGTTGATTCACTGGATATTGACTGATCGCATCGAATTAAGTCAGCTAGGCGAATCACATTAGGCCTGTCAAATGTAAAGGTAAAAAGGCGTGCTCTCGCGATACTGCAAGGGAGTGGATCTAATCGTTAAGGTTTCGACGGACCTGGCGATCACGAGGCATATGCGCCAACTGTGGGGCCGAAGAACGGCGGCAGAAGCAATAAAGGGTTCGTAGGGGTCACTTAGTGAGGCCATGGCTTGCATGAAAAGCATGTGATGGACGCAAAACGTTGCATTATAGTACGCCCCATGATGTGATGTGAGAAGTCCCTGATGTCCAAGCTTCCAATGGACGCGCGATCCGCGCAGCTCCTTGACACCCCGATCGGAATGCGATCATAATGAGGATCAGCCCTACAAGAAAACAAACTAAGCACTACATTACCTAGAGGGCCATGTGGATTGACGTATCTATTAAGAAGCGGGTATGTAAGATTCGTGAAATGGGTATCTATGTTGGAGAAACTGGCGTCCAGAAATGCCGCCGTACATGAAGGTCGCCGAAGCGAGGAAAATGCTGGATATCGCTAATCGCAAAAGTTTGTACATAAGTTGGCGTATCAGGACGCGAGTGTCGGTGTGGCACTGGTCGATGATCGCTGGGGATCGCACGAAGCTACCCACTGGGAGTCAGTCAATGCGCAAGCTTTGCCCGCAAAGCCTATCCTCTGGACACAGCCTTCCCAAACATCGACAATCGACTTTTCTTGGGCTTACCTGCGGCCTCTCTCTCTTCCCCCCAAGGTGAGACATCATTTATCTGAAGGCGTCTGCCCAGACCTAGGCGTTCACGTGGAGACTCATACCAATGCTTGGAGAGCTCAGATGGTGCAATGGTAGAAGGTGCAATCGAATATGAATCATCGTCATCTTCATCGTCGCGATCTTGTCGAAGATCGTCGGTGCTAGCCAGTGAAGCTTCGTACAAGGTCGGCAGCGCTGGGGCTGATGGCGTCCTCCTATAGTGTGGCATGTGTGTAGAGCGTTGAACTGGTCGTGGGCCCCTAGTTGCCATCGGCCGACTGAAATTCTGAACTGGTCGTTGAGGGGCATAATGAGGGATTGACGATGCAGCCAGGGACGACTCGTATATAGTGGGCGGGTCACTTTGTCGGCGTTCGATGACAGGCTGGGGTTGGAAGAGAAAGTCATGTGAGTCAGGCACATGATCAGAATTGTCCTCAGTAGGTGACTGAACGGCATGTGCACCGCTTCCCCATGCACCTTGGCTGGGTCGGTCGTTGAGTTTTCTGAAGATGGTATCTGCAGTATCCATGACAACTGTATCCGTCGATGTCGTTGAAGAAGCAGGTGAATGCGGTCTGGAGTCTACCGATCCGTCCATGCTTGGACGGTCACTTGAAGTTGAGTCTGACAGTCGAACTGGCAGTTGTGAGGTATAATCGTACGTTGCGCCTGCGCTCTCAGATCTTGGGGGTAACGCGCCAGATGCAGCGGGGTCGTCAGGGAAGTAGTAAGACATCTCAGGGAGCGTGGTGGTAGATGGCGAGGATCCGAGTCCAGAAGCTTCGTCTCGCATGGCAAGATTCGACAAGGACATGGAGGCGACTGAGTTTGGTGGATTACGAGTCCCGTCGGTCATGACCGAAAATCTGGATTCGTTCCAGGGAGCATGTTTGAGAGGCGAGCCGAAGGAGCCCTTGGACGAAACGCTGCTTCTATTGTCCTTGGTTGATGCGCTTGATGTCGAGTAGCGGTTTTTGACGGACTCGGGGACACCGTCCCATTTCGAATTGACCTTGGGTACAGATGGCGGGAGCTTCTGGCCAACATAGTTGCTGCTGGCTCTGGACTGGGGTGTGGATGTTCCCGAGTTGGCGTTCTGCTTGCGCTGTTGTTCGGCGAATTGCTCCAAAGCAACTTGAGACGGCTCCTTTAGAGAAAGGAAGCCGAGCACGGAGCTGCCCTTTTTCTTCTTCTTCGATGACTTGGAGCCATTTGACGAAGAGTTGCTGGAGGATATGGAAGCCAGACTGGATGACGTCACGGAGGTAGTTTCGAAGGAAGGACGGGAGATGTTCGAAGGAGCGTTTGAATCCGGGGTCGCGGGAGGCTCTTGACTATATGCAGAGTGGGGCCCACTGTCTTGGGAAGTATCGGAGGCAATCGAAAGGCTGTCGGCCGGCAGCGGGTTTCTGTACTTCAGCTTGGGCATGCGCGCCAGCGGGGACTGTGCTGTTAAGTCTGCACTCGGAGCCATGGCTAAGGAAAGTGATTTCGGTCGCGTGGGCGTTTAGGGTTTAGCGGCCAGTCGGTGCCAGTTTGATCGTCGTTTGATTGGCAGGCTGTCGCTAAGGCGTGGCGCATGTCATGCAGGTAGAGGTAGGTAGTGGACGGTAGTCGAGGGTCGAGAAGTGAGGAATTTGAGTGGCATTGCGAGGGATAAAATGCAGCTGCAGAAGGGACGGTTTGATGACAGGACGGGACGGGTGGTGAGGTAAACGGGCGTGCTTGGATTGAGCTGGAAGTTCTGCAAGTAGAAGGCGCATTTGAGGGCTCGCAAGGCTAGGAAGAAGCAAGAGCGACTCACAGTGGTAGGACGCCGCCCTGCGCGGGTACGCTACACACATGGAGACTGATCCTGATGGCCATCCACGCGGCACTGTCTATCAGACCAACGCCATTGGCGGGCTGGAAATGGCGTTGTGGTGGATTTCATGGGTGGCTTCGCTCTCTCTCGCTGACCCTTGCAGGCGGTCGGCTGCGTGAATCTGCGAATATGCCGCCGGACGAGATAGACGCGTTTTGAGAGACAGAAATTGGCAATCTGACGGGCAGATCGCGAAAGCCGTTATGTCGGTTCTGAGTCGGCAGCAGCTTCAGATGAGCGCACTGACGCTGCTGCGTCGTGCCGGTGCCGTGTTTAGCTTGTTACTTTGTCTCCTATGTCCCCAAGGGAGTTGGCATTCTGCTCGACCAAGACGCAGACCGAGTGGACATGACCGAGTCGTCTGCAGAGACTGCCGACAAGCGGCGCATCACGCAGTCGCTGTCTGAGCATGGCTCGCACGGCCAGAGAGCAGTGTAAGCGACGTCGGGGGCTAGAGTAGATTTGTGATTGTGGTATATACCATCCTGAAGCCGAAGTAGCATCCATGTTCGGGTACACATGTCTCCTAGACGAGATGGAACTCCTTCCGAGCTCTCCGTCCAGCCGACTGCCAGCCAAAGAAATTCTCGCCCGCAGCCGGCCCCGCACACTCTCCCCAACCAAATCGCGACGTGTCGATAACTGCGTGGGCGTTCCCGCGCGCGCAATCTCAAACGACACACATTCCCATCGCAAATCGCATCTGGCATGGACGGCCCAGGCACAAGTCTAGACAGCGCCTAACCGCCGCCACCTCGCGGCGAACCACGCCGGAGATTTACCACAGCAGCTCCTAGGCCTCTGCGCGGTCTGCCCTCGTACCTTCACCGCAGAGTGGTCGCCGATCGGTATCCTGCCACGACTCTCCGGCTTTGCGCCTGGAGACGTCTCCCTCTACGCCGCCATGCCAGCGCTCCTGGTCGACACGACGACGCGCCCAGTCTCGTCCAGCGACGCCTCGACCGCCTCGGAGCACTCTGGCAACCGCTCCAAGTCGCCCACTCCTGACCGCCCGCCCGTGTCACCTCTCACGCCCACAGCTTCTGCTGCCCAGCTAGCTCCTGTGGAGCGCACCGAACCCCGACCCCGCCCTGCCCCTCCGCCCACTGCCACCTTCAGACCGCAGCCGCCCTCTGTCGCCATATCCGAGACAGAGAACCCGGATGCCATCGCCCTGCGATCCGCCATATCGCTCCTGCAGCTGCAGCGCGAAAAGAGCAAGCGCGACCTCAAGGCCCTCGAAGAGCTCAAGGCAGCCGCTGTGTCTGACCCGCAAGCCTTCGTCAAGTCGCTGCAGGAACAGAGAGCCCAGGCCTCCCATTCCTACCAGGACATACTCACCCCAACGCTGTCGGGTCTGGCCGACTCGTCACGTAGCAATGACGAAGACACCAATAGCGCAGACATGCGCAAGGACTCAACGCATATGGACGCGAAGCCAGACCCACCCAAGTTCCCCGCGATACCACAGCCCCAGAACATCGTGCGATGCCCGCCCATCAATTGGGAAAAGTACCACATAGTCGGAGAACCACTGGACAAGATCCATGAAGAGCAGAAGAAGTGGCCAGCATCTGCCGAGCCTCCACGCACAAAGTCTGGCCAACGAGCACCCCCGCACTCAGTGACGGCCCCATACTCTCCCTTCACGGATGGCATCAGCGCTGCTTCATCGTCGGCAGCCCAACCGGCAAACCACTCCAAGAAGACGCCGTCATGAGGCTGGGTAGCACCGAGCCAAGTGACTTCGACTCAACACCAAAGCGCAACGCGCAACATCACATTACTACCACAACCGCTTATAACGATTCCACTCAAAAGTCTGAGAGCACAGGCTGCTCCGCTCACGAATGTAATGCACTTACGGTCATCATGATAGACGATGCCTCATGAATAGAAGACGGGAGCATAGCGACAGACCCGAATACAAACGATTTAGACAGTCAAGTCTTAGGTCTACCATGGTGCGTCTGCTCACGTAAATGTGCTTCTGTTGAATCCAGTTTCTATTTGTGTCACCCGTAGTCTTGTCGATTCGTACTCGCACGCGCACATTGCGGCTGTGCACCCCACATCCACGTGGCTGACACATTTGCAAGCGCTGCACTCTTGCCCACACCTTTGCAGTCAGTACAGGACGAATCATTTTGATACTTTTTCTTTTTCAGAGCCTTCCCTTGTCGACCAACCAAAAAAATTAGGCATTATTATGCTGCAGTCGTACCTGCTTGACCCCTGCGCGAGTGCTTCGCTTAGCGCTACGTTGCGTCATAGTTCCAGGGTCTGAACAACATACGCCCAGCAACACGTCAACATTGTGGTCAGTGTGCTGAATAGGCCCTGATTCGTATTTCCAAGACGTTGATCTCGAGGCTGAGGCCCTGTTGGTCAGGTTTGCTATTCGCTTGTTGCCATGGCTGGGCCCTAGTGAGTGACGTGTGGGTCTTTTGCGCGGTCGTCGCATTGCAAGTTTGTATTTGCGCGTCACGTATAAGTGGTTGGCTCTTTCTTTATCGTCTTTGACATAACTCACCATCCATCGCTTCCTGTCTTTTGTCTGCGTTTTAGCCCTTCGTTGCTCTTTGAATACAACGCCATTCACTAGTAGCATCTAAAACGATCGCGACCGTCCACACATCTACACCACAATCGCAAAGTCAATAACACCACGACGATGCGGTTTATCGCTATACTACCGGTGCTCTGCTGTACCGCCGCCCTCATACTATCATTCCTATGCCTATTCGCGGGTCACAAGAAGGGTTTCATGGAAGACTACTCTCTCCTCACACTTAACACTTCTGCTGTTGGGCAAAACCTCATCTCCTCTGCAACATCAGATTCCGATTCCACACTCTCGTCGATTATAAACCTCATCCCTGATTCCATCACCGATAGCGTCACAAACGAAATCAATGAACAGATTGATGAGCTCCGCGAGCGCATTGGTGTCGAAGACTGGTACTCGGCACACATGTTGAATTACTGTCAAGGACAGTATGAGCCTGGAGAAGTGGCAAATGCAACGCTGAGTCAGAGCGACATCAGCAAGAACGTTACCGAGTGCGCGAAGAGCAGGGCTACCTACAAGTTCGACCCTACCCAGATCATTCAGGATGCGCTCAACAGGACGGGTGTAGACATTACCCTACAAGACCTGCAATGGCCAGATGATATTCAAACGGGAATCGACACACTCAATGCGCTCATGGCGGCCATGTTCGTTCTCTACGTCATCGCAATCTGCCTTATCTTTATTACGCTCATTACTAGCGTTCTTGGAATCTTCATCGGAAATGGAAGACTCACTCCATGTGTCAACTTCCTTCTCGCCACACTTGCGTTCCTGGCCATTGGACTGGCGAGCGCGCTTGTCACTGCGGTTATGGTTAAGGGCACCGATATTGTCAATGATAAGGGCGGTGAGATAGGTCTCAATGCAAAGTACGGCGGCAAGTTTCTTGCCCTTACTTGGGCTGCTACCGCGCTTATGCTTATCGCCCTCCTTGGCTGGATTGCGAGCTTCTGCATCGGCGGAAAAGATCGTGAGTCGCGCCGTGCTCGCAAGCCCTACAAGGTGTAGAGGAAGTGGAGTTGGAAGTTGAAGATTGCATTGTGCGCTCCTGAACTTATTAAGTTGGTTGTGTCGCAATGGGGCGATACTTGGAGTACAGCGGTTTCCTCTTCTTCTCACGACCCCCACGAACGAGCTCATGTCTTTCCTTAAATTTGTCATATACCCCCAGATACCAGAATGTGTTTCATAAGGATCTAGCGATGAAGAAGATTGTATACCCATAGTTTGTTTGAATCAACGTACTCAATATAGGACATCAACTTTTCATGCTCGTGCACCTCGTCTTATCTCCTATGAAACACCAGCCTAATCAAATAATTCCTAGAAAGGCCACAGATGACTCCATCACCCCTTCCTGCCTATACCATCGATACTGAGTGAAAAGCACTTTGTCTTGTACAATACTTGTAAGAAGTACTTTTGTTCATTGTCAGTTAAGAGTGACAGAGGGATTCTCAGTGAAGGACATAATATCCTGCAGCACATGTTCTCTTCACGGTCTGTCGTCCACGACAAGCCGTGCTCATCCGCCTCCAGACACGCCTCCGCCCTGTCCATAGGGGATGTGCAGCACGTACTCGACACCTCACCATGCCCCCAGTCACGCTCCCACTATCACGGTATATAGCGATCCAACTTGGTTATGCATTGTGATCGCTCTTCTACAAACTCTATAATTGAGATACCACAACCTTGACCACCAGTCCAGATACCCCGTAGTACCCTGATTTCTTGACAAAACTCAAACAGGTACTAGTTCCGCGCTATTCAACGAATACCACACACAAATACAAAGGATGGTGCCGTGGCGACCTGTCCAACCGCGTCGTTGCCAAAGTATCCGCGGCACACTAGGTAGCCCGGATAGTTATCGTTATGATCGTGCTACGTGAATAATTCTCTCTCACCGTCTCACTTAGATAGCATACGTCGTTCTACATATCGCCTTTTTTTCGGTTATCACTGACAATAAGGATGAAGATACCACTACGGTCCAGAATTCGACTACAACGGCTACCGCGATGGTTGGGGTGTACGAGAACATATATATACGCATGCCGGCTCGGGAAGACAGGTCAGAAGGTACGATGCTGAGCCCGACGAAGATGATTATTATTACGGCAGCCGACGGGATACGAGGAGATGGAGAGATAGATTTCGGTGTTGGTAGACTACCTTTTTCGATAAGCACAAGCAATTAGTCAGAGAGACGCAAATGTGGTATGGAAACTTTCGTTTGTATTAAACGGGTATCTAAATTCGTCACCTTCATCAAGCGTGCTTGGTTTCCGACCAACACAACGCATGTTCCCGCACTGTTTGAACCAAATCAGATTTTCCATCATGCACCTTCGCGCTAGGTCACTTATGAGTGGTCTGTAGAGACGATCTGTCCGCCTCTGCAACGATGGGATAATGCTGGGCGGTCCCCGATTTGGCAACATATCCAAGTGTTGAGCAAATCGCGTACTTGTGTTCCTGCTACTCATCGCTGGCGGATGATTTCTAGTAGAGTCCGGTATCAGTGGTGGCCGAAATGGAGTTGAAGAGGAATAAAGCTTGCGCACCTGTGAGAAACTCCTCGCTGCAAATACAGTTAGCCGTGATTCTGAGAACATGTTCCAAGCCCTCAAGTTGGACCACTTACAAGCTCAGTGTGATATAACCATCGCGGTCCTCGTCATACTTCTTGAACACATCCGTCATCCTCTTCAGACTAATGCACGCTTGCACAAATAGATCGAAGCTCAGTGCATTGCGACCATCACGGTCGTAGGTGCGGTACAGAAGGGTGACGAATTGCTGGGAAAGGCGGTATCCAAAGGCAATGAGGGCCTCATTAAACTCGGCGTAGGATATGCTACCGCTGTGATCTTGATCGAAACGGTCGAAGAGGCTGCGCCAGGCAGAGAGGAAGCCCCATAGTCCACTGTGAGCGACGTTTTAGCTTTAAATTCTGATAAGAAAGAAAAGGGGGCAAGAGCAAGTACCAGAATTCATCAAAGTTGACAGATCCAGATCTGTTGGTGTCGAACATCCGAATCATCATACGGACAGTGTGTGGGTCGAAAGGTGTCCAATCTCCGTTGACGAGCGCAGTCCGCAGTTCAGCTTCTGTGAGCTCACCACTCTCTGCCGCATCCGTTAGCATGGTACATGGCCAAGCTCGTGGCTACAACATACTGTCCTTGTCGACGGCGCCGAACAATCTCCAGAGTGCCTCGCGGTCATTCGCATCCCTTGGCGGCGCAGGCGTGGGCGGCGGCCTCGACTGTTGCGCCAACTGCGGTCTTCCATGATATCCCTGTGGTGGTGGTCCATGGCCGTAGTTGGCGGGTGGAGGCGACCCAACTGCCATTCTGTTGTCCTGTCTCGAGTCGTACCGGCTGTCGTAGCGCGTGTCGCTGTATGCGCCTGGCGGGGGTCTGCTATCATATCCACCACCTCCTGCGCCGCGTCCCCCACCGCCGCCATAGCGCTCATCTGGACGGGTGTCGTATCTCTGGCCGCTGGGAACGGGCGGGGGAGGTTTGTTGTAGTCCGGACGCGCTGAACTTGTGCGCGGTGGGCGTGCGGCTGCAGGTGCGTTTTGCGACATCATGGCAGCAGCCTGGTCTTCGTCAGTCTTGCATGCGTGTCGACAATGTTTGAAAGCTATACCTGCTCAGGCTCTGCATGCATAGGCAGCCTGTCCGGGTTGAAGCCTTTGTTGTACGCCATGATGGGATCAAATTGTCGAGTGTTTGTGAGGTGGAAAGCGAATGTCGCAACGTGTCGGGGCTGATGATATATGAATGTGACACCAAGCTTCAGCTTCTCGGCGAGCGAAGGCAATCGTCAGGCGCGCAACTGACTCCAAAACACAGGGAGATGCTAGTAGCTTACGGCACAAAGTCTTTATGATCAGCCGAGTAAGATGCGGCTCCAACGATCAAAGCCCAACTTCGCCCTTCACAGCCCGGTTGCGGCTGATAGCAACGGCGAGCCCTTGGGCAAGGCGTATGCGCAGCGGGGCAGTCGGCTTGGCCCTATGACGCAGTAGGTCGTGCCCGGTCAACATCACAGGGAACGTCTACCACGATACGAATACGGGCAAATCAGTACGCAGCATACGCAAAACTTGAGCCTGCCCTTCTTGCCAACGTTTCGCTTCCCGAAGGTTCGGCCAGTTGCTGTCGAGTTTGCACGTCAATCACTCGCTGCAATGTCGAGTCACACAGAGCTTGTATAATGGGGTACCCCTGGTTGTTTATGTGGACTAAGCCAAGCCGTTCATTGGTATTATTTACAAAGAAGTACATATCTTGACTCTGATCGTTCGTCATGCCATAACCGGTATGCCCAACAAGGTCCATGTGCAACCGTCAAATTGTGAAAAGAGACAAAATAGTAGATGACAACAACGACAATCATCGTGGGTATCCAACGCCCCTGCACCCAAATTCTACAAAGCCTTCAAACAAAATAGCAAAAAGTATAGTATGCATCGAGCATCGCTTGTTGGTCCTCAGGAAGTAAAGACCGGAATAGAAGCACCAAGTATGGGGTACAAATACAGCATAGCCGTGGAAATAGGCCATGCGAGAAAGACTGTCGCTTCAAACAACTTTTCAAACTCCGCTGCACTGCTCAGGTTTTGACCCGCTTTTGGTTGCCGTCATCCGAGCCCTGATCAGACGTCTTGCGCTTGCGCTCCGCCGAATCGTCACGGGCGAAGCTGGGTCCATTCGGGGCTACGGGTGTCTGGAAAGTCAAAGGACTCGGCAGCATGTTGGAGTCGCGACCAAAACCCCACTCGGGGTAAAAGCTCGAGGGCGAGGGAAGGAGGCCATTCTCCACAAAGCGGCTGGGAAGTGCTGAGATTGGCGTCTCCATGTCGTTGCGGCTACCGTATGAGTTACTGTTAGATGGCGGCGGCGGACGAGCAAAGGGGTTGGGCGGGCCAGTTGCACCTGCACTGAGCAGCGAGTTCGCACTCGGTGACGGAGGAGGCAGGACTACGCCAGAGGAGTGCGACGCATCAGTGCTTCGTCCTGGGGTCGCACCAGTTGTGCCAGAGTCCTTTGGAGACGAGTCGGCCGTGGCACTTCCAGCATCCGAGTGTTCGCTCGGGATCTGCACCCTCAATCTTGGCTTGCTTTCACCACCCATGCGCAGACTGTTTGTTCGTGACGGAGGAGGGATCGTGGGCATTGAGGATGTAGACTGCGTTCGCTGCGGTGGTTGCTGAACAGGTAGCTGTGAAGGCTGTGCTTGAGGTTTTGGTTCCCCGTTCGGCTGCAGTCGTGACATGGCGGCTACATCAATTGATTGCGCACGGTTCTCTTGCTTGATATATGGCGCTTCGCTGCGAGACAGGTTTGAATTGCTACTGCTACCCCAATGCGCAGCGAGCATGGACTGGCTGTCGTCGATTGGTGTGAAGATGCTGTGTCTGGCGGACGCGTGTAGTGGCTTCGGCTGGGGGAGAGGGGGACTCTGAAAATCGTTCTGTTGCGTGGGGGACGGGACGGTAATCGTAGGCTGTTGCGGGAGTTCTTGCTGCGGCTGAGAGGCTTGCGGAGGTGGAGGGGGCGGGGACAGTCGCTGTTGCTGCTGCTGCTGTTGCTGCACTTGTTGCTGTGCCTGCTGTTGTGCCTGTGCCTGTGCTTGTGCTTGCTGTTCTTGTTGATGCTGGTGTTGCACTTGCTGCTGAAGATGGTGCTGCTGCTGTTGCTGCTGTTGCTGGAAAGTAGGCGGCATTGACTGCCGACGTTGCTGCTCTTGTTGCATGTACTGCACTTGAGGATGCGTAGGCATGGGATGTGTAAATTGGTACTGTGCGGCGGGTGGAGTAGGCTGAGGCTTGGGGGCCATTTGCTGGGCAGTTTGCGGGTTGTAGAAAGGCGGGTTCGGCATGTAGGCATAGCTGTTGGGCGGTGGAGGGGCTTGCGAAGGGTATGGCTGGGGCGGCGCGAGGTTCGAGCTCGGTCTGCGAATGTGGCCTACTCTCGAGTTGGGTCGCGATAGGTGGTGAGGAGGCTGGGGAGAAGGACCTCGCTGTTGGAAGGGGACGCCGTTGCCGATTGGCGGAGACATTGATGGCGCTCCTTGTCTCATGTGCTGGAACTGCGGGTGCTGCATGTGATGGGGCATCATCGAGTGCTCGGGCGGGGTGTGCGAGTCTCGGGGAAGGGCGCCCTCTTCATCGTCGTCGTCGTCATCGTCGCCATCTTTCTTGCCCATAAAGTCCTCTGGGCCCTTGTGCTCGTGTGCGCCGCCATACTGCGTGACCTGTCAGTGTCATGTACTTTAGCGCAACTCTCTGTCCAGGGTAGCAGGGGATGCATACGTATTGGTACCGGCCAATGGTCTCGTTGATGTCGCCGGAAGAGAATTCATAGAGCTTCTTGTTGTGGCCGAAGATGATGACGGCGACGTCTACTGAGCAAAGCACAGAGAGCTCGTGCGCCTTCTTGAAGAGACCGCCTTTGCGCTTGAGGAAGGTTCTATGGCGTGTTAGTGGCTGATCGCAATGTGTCTGGGGCAGCTGGCTTACACGGAGCGGTTCCGGTCGTCCTTGATGGCCTTGATCTCGATCTTTCTGCGACCCATGGTGGATGGCGATGCTAGACGTCAAAGCGCATGGAGCGACGGTGATGTCTCGAGGAACTGAAGAAGACAGTACTAGCTTGCGCGGCCGAGGCGTGATCACGAAGACGCTGAGCGTTTCAGCGCTTGCAGCAGGAAGAGGCGGGCGGCGAAAGTCGGCGCGGTGGATGTGCAATTCTTTTTCGCGACTCCAGGGCTATATGGCTGTGATGCGCGACACAAAGGTCGGTTGCTGCTCTCACAGTTTCTGTGAGGCTCTGAACGTGATGTGCAGAGGAAACCATGATGGAGTGGGTGGGCGCCCCTATATTTAGAAATCTGGCGTCTGCAAAGCCCAGGCCATCCGATCGCTAATATGCCCGGTTACGGGTTATTTGCTGGGGTTGGGTCCTGGTGCCACGTCCGCTGTCCCCTTGCAATTGGGTGTGCAATCTGTCTGTCAATCATCACAGGCATGCCTAACTCCATCGAGGCTGTTTACTCCACTTGCAACGCCCAGCTGAGTTATTTTAAGGACATATCAGAGCTGGGGTCCAGCGGCCTCACACAGGCAGAGCAGACCCTTGATGCGGTACAGTATGAGAATGAGACGACCAGCCATTTTACCGGCATCGCGCTACTCACGACCTCTTCACGGCAGTCCCTGTTGACTGCAGAGGGTACTCTCAGATTAGCAAGACCATCTTACCGGCTCTGCAGCATTCAGACGGGGGTCGCTCGCTATTCTTGCGTGCCATGTCTAGCGGGAACACATATCGGCGCTTGCAGACGTGATGACGAAAGTCATGGCCCTGAGGTCGACCGAAGGCGGAGGCATTCGGTGCTCCCTGTGTGTGCGGCATTGCACTTGCCGGTGCGCCATTTGCACCCTTTCCCGAGCAATGTTTTGCTAGCGACACATGGCGGAGCATTCGGTCAATCATTTCTCTCAAACCTTAGCTTCTTTTACTGCAAAGGCAGTCCCTGTGTGAAGCTGTGGCCTGCCAACCAGTCCTTCGCTGTCTGCAATCGCTGTCATCCATCATGGATAGCCGTCGAGAACGCCCCGCTTCCCCACCGGATGCGGGACGGCTCAAAGGTGTCCATCTTCACAGTCCCCGTCCATCTGTATGCAGTCATGTCCCCGGCAGACGATCCAAGAACATCCAAACAGATTGTTTCCAGTATCTACTTCCATGTCCTAAGGTTGAAGTTGGAATAAAACTCGCAGCACGCGGTTCCTAGCGCGACTACCTCCCATGTCCGAAACGCGGTATTTTTAGAAGGCCATGCCGCAAACCCACATCTACCACTGGCATGACGCACCTGCTACTGCACCTGATTGACTGATCGACCCAGCTTACCTCGACACACACGACCAACACTCCAGAATGTTACACATTGCTAAGCTGCTGTTCGTCTATTCTTTCCACTCGCATCGTTGTTTCTTCCCGTTCTCATAATCTCACCCACCTAGCCGCCAGCTCCATATGTTCTCCCCACTTCACATTAGCTCGTGCTTCCCCATACGTACATTTCACGGCCAGGATGCTAGTGTATGTGATTGTTGACTTCACCTGCTGAAGCGAATGCGCCGCACCGAGCTGTCGGTTCTATCTCTCCACCACCAACCTTCACCATTCTAATTGAAGTATCACAGATACCGGCATCACTCAGCAACGCGTCACTCCATCAAAGAAAGGTGACGTTCACCGGAAAATAGGCGGCCCGGCGCGTCTAACTCTCTATCAGATGCAGGTACACGTTCGGCTGTTATTCTTAGTCTCACACGCACACCACCCGGCAGCCATTCCTTTGTTTCTGACCAGTACCTCGTATGTACCCTCCCAGAGGCCTGGCTGATGCAGGTACACAGATCTCGTGTTATTTTGGGCCGCACGCTGGCCCTCGTGCTTCCAATTTCTCCAACCGCCATGGCCTGTGGCCCCAATCCGAAACCTATGCCTCGCTGAAGAACGCGTGGTAAATGCAGGTACCCTGCTAGGACGTTATTCTTGGGCGATACCTCAGAACGACGTATGCCTACACGACCTTCATGATAGCCTACCGAATGCGATCTCCTGAGCATGTCAAGGAGGTCTTCATCTCATCTCAGTTTCAACAGATATCATTCTTGTCCAGATCTTCGGCCAATACGTTGAATTGATCGACGTAAGCGCTGAGGAGATTCGTGTACACAAATGGTAGGACCAATGGCAAATGCATCTCGATTGCAACAGGCTCTTCATCTTCGTCCACATCCTCACCTTCTAGATCATCCCCCTCTTCTCTCTCATTCGTTACTAGAGGAGCAAGCTCTTCCCTGATTTTCCTGGCGAGGCGGACATATGCGGCTTGCCCAAATGCAGGATCGGTTCTTCTTGAGAAACTGCAACTGTTCTTTCTCTGCTAACCATTCATATATCAGACACCCATCAAGTGCCTGCGTATCTACTTGTGTGTGGTAGTCATGCCTAAGAACACCTCGTAAGCCGTTGTGTACAGTGACCCGCCATTCTTCTTCTGCTTCCTGAGATTCCGTTCGTACGGTGGATAGCCTTTGCACATGCTTTACAGTGGCACCATCAAGAGTGATAGGATCTTATTTGACCGTAAACACGAGCGATTGTATGAGATGGCCTGGATCCTAGCGAAGGAGCTCGCGCTCGACATGTTCAGCCCATTTATTGACAAAGGTATTCCAGGCTTCATCGTTACGGTAATCTCAGCGGTAGATGACAAACGCCCGCTTGGGGCGGTCTCGAAGCTTATTGAGAATTCGGACGACAGTCCTTCGTGGCGCTCCCGGCATACCTTGGAATAGTTATGGGCATTAGCTTGGTGAATGGACGGGGCTCTGCCGTCAGATTGTAATGGCAGGTCAGGGCGTTCTGGAGAGTGGGTCAGCGAAATGTAATCTCCAAGTGCCTCGATGTGGTACAAAAGCGAGCTCTTCACATGACGCACGCTGCCTGGAGAGCATCATCTGGATCCATGCCATAGTTGCTTAGATCAAAGAACCCTCCCCCCTTGGTCTCATCATTTTCGTCTCATGCGTCGAGTAGAATCTCGAGGTCAGGACCTAAAACCATAGACGCTGGTTAACATAGTTCATCCAAAATTGATGTCGGTCATCCCGACAACCATTATACTCCACGTAGGAACGATTCCTAGTTTCTTGAGTGTCGGCACAATGATATGGTTGTAGGTCGGATATGGATGGCAACGAGCTGAGGGATCGAAGATATTGCTGAGGAAGTCAACCAGAGAAACAGCTTATCCTGGCTCCTGCAAGAGGAATGGTCAATAGAGGTGAGTGGAATAGCGGTGACGTACCTACATCTCCACGGCCAACCATTCCACATCGTCAGCGCCTACGAAAAAATCGTCAGGGCACACTTATCAAGAGAGCGGCGATGGGACGGATGGTTAGAATACAACTCGACATGTTGGGTGTTTCGAGTCTATCCAGACGTCTTCTTACAGCGCCTATCCTAAGCAGTATAGTAATTAATCGAGCAGCTATCGCTTCGCCAGCCGAGCAGAAAGAGGACTGCATGGAAGATTTTCTGAGTGGAAGATGAGGTATAAAAGTATTCGCTTTCGCAGATTTTGATTAGCTATAAAATTCCGGAGAGGTTGCGCCTAAAGATGACACTACATACATTCGTTTACGTCTGCGGAAAGTACACTCTCTTCACTCCAAACTTCGGCACAACGGAAAGACATGTGACAAGAGGAAACAACAAAACCCTATTATTGACCTAATCTGCATAGGTCGAGGTACCTTGTTGAGTGGGCTGAGAGACTACAGTTAGCAGTGGTTGAGCCTTTGAAGCCCCTACAATGATGTGTCATAGTGAAAAGGAACTTTTTCCTTGAGACAGCGACAGCAAACAAAGCACAGCGACATGATGCTTCAGTATATTTCGGTATTTGTTGGAAAGAAGAAGGTAGAAAAGAACTCAAGCCTTTTTGTGCTGGGTCAGATATCTCGAAAGCACCAGCCGCACATTTTCGAGTGCTGACAAGATGACACGATCAAAGTGACGGTGACGGGGCATGAGCAGAACAGGATCACAAGCTTGCGCACGTCTAAGCAATTGCACTACGCAAAACGTCTTGATTAAACATTCGAAAGTTCGCACCTCCTTCTCTAACATATAACATACTACGTGATCTTCGCGATGGTATATATTGTCGGTCATCGAACATACGTGACCGCATGACTGTGCATGTCCGCAAATATGTGTACCTAGACAACGATGTACATTCCTCCCGAGGTATCTCAGCAAAACGTAAAAAATCGAAAACTGATGCAGATTGAATGGAAAACAAGCCGATGTCAGACATAAGTGTATGGCGCTGACGGGTATTAAGTGTGAAAGCACAAATTATGCTGGTTGTCGTAGAAGAAAAAAACCAGAAAGTCGAATTCGGAAAGGGTATCGAGCTCTTTGTACGCTTGGAAAACAGATGGGGTATGTGATGCTAAAGGACGATCTGGGCAATTGTTAGCAGAACTCTGAGCAATAACGTAATGGGAGCCTTACAATGCGCATTCTACCACTGTCTTCCGCCAGCTCCTGCGCCCGGCTGACCATCAACATTGCCAGTGAGTTCAGCAACACGCGCCTTGATGCGAGCCACGCGGCTTTCGATGGTCTCCTCGCCACTCGTCTCGCCTTCGTCAGTCCGCTGGCTCTGGCTTTGACTTCGGCTACGGCGAACCTGTTCTTCACTCAGCCTCGCTGCGCGTTCGGCAGCGTTCTTCCTAATCTGTGCCCATCGATCTTGAGATGGTGATTGTTGCTTTGTGAACTCGACGGATTCTTCCGAGATGTCATCCGAATATTCTGGGGCACGCTGGGTCGGGGTTCTAGGGTTCGTCTGTTGCATCTGTCGACGAGGTACAGTTGGGGCAGCAGCGGCATCGTCATCACTCTCGTCGTCGGCAGGGGCAAAAGCAGGCATGTCTTCCATCGGGCCTTGGTCGAATCGTGAGAAGGCCTGGTCGATCTCTTGTTGTGTTGCTGGTCCACCAGCCACAGGACCGCCAGCTTGATTTGGCTCCACAATACCGGACGAAGCCGCAGGGCTAGGCTCGTGTTGTGGCGATGGCGCCCGTATAGGCTCGGGTTGATCATCAGTGTAGGTTGGCGATGGCTCTCGTACATTGGATTGGTGGTCGTCAAGTCGGGAGTTGCTCCGGAGGGCATCAGATGCTTGGAAGTATGAATCATCTGCAGGTGCTGTTGTAGCTACTGCTGCAGGCGTCTCAGTCTTCTTTCTCCCAAATAGCTTCCTAAAACCACCGCCTTCCTTCTTCTTCAACTTGTTTGGTGAGATCTTCTTCCCTGGTGCGGCTCCGTGATCCTCACTGACGCGGCTCTTGGGCTGGGGAGCCACAACTGGTTTCCGTTCGGGCACTGCCTTCCTCAAGGCAGGGTGCTGGTTCGGAGTCGTGCCTGACTGAACAGACTTCTCGTCCGAGATGGGTAGCGGCGTTGCGAAGGGCGTCTCCTCTATGGGAGTGGACTGGTCTTGCGCAACTGGAACAGGGAACGACTGCTGCTGAGGAGTCTGAGTGGGCGAGTCGTTTGGCCAAGGTACCGGAGTCACAGAAGCTTCCGTAGGCTTGGTATCAATACGAGCTGGTGAGCGTGACTCTCCTCTCTCGGACTTTGGTAGCGCGGGAAGATCGCGGTTGGACACCTCTGGAGGTAGTGGCGACGAGCGACCATTAGCAGATGCCATGAGATTGTTCTTTGAGCCTCTGCCGGCACTGACATCTCCCAGGTACTGGGCACGAAGTGCGTCCTTGTCAAGCGCGGCTTCGCCAAACTTCTTGTCCCACTGCATGGCCGGACCAGCCTCGTTCACCAGATGTGGTTGCAGCGTAAGCACACTGTTTGTTTTCACTGATGTGGTATCGTCGGTACGTCCTCGGCGTTGCGCAAATTCCTTTGCGTCCTTTTCGTCCCGCTCATTCTTAGCCAGCTTTGCTGCTGCAGCCTGTATCCTCGCGTGTTGATCTGGTCCAATACTGGTCTTGCTCATGGGTGTGTTGTTAGTTGTCCGGTTGTAGGGCTCTTTCGGGGTGGGCTTCTTGCCGGTCGACTTTCTGCGGCCAAGTCGTCCACGCCTTGTGAAGCTAAATTTGGACTTTTTCTCGGCGATGTAAGCACCTTCCTCAGGACCAGGAGATGCGCCTTTGACTTGCTCTTCCATGACTAGCCACTTTGCGCCTTGGATGCGTGTTTCAATCAACGTGCATCTTCCGAAGGCGGCTTTGCGATCAGTAGTCTCTTCGGAAGCCAGACTAATCATCCATACCCACCAGAAGGTCTCGTCGAGGTCGAACTTAGTTATGCTTGCCAACTCGCCAGGCTCAAGGTCATCTTCGTTAAGACCATTTCGCACATGTGACTGGGAGCTGTGTACACGGTTCTCTCCTAGAGGTGGGAGTTTCTGGTTGGGCATTAACAGAGTAGTCGGGGGAGATTGATTGTTCTCGTCGGCGAAGCCCGAGGACAAAAAGTCCGCCCACGAAGGCGTGGTAGGGCGACCCAAGTCGGTATTGTTGGAGTGAGGCCCCGATCGAAGACTGGAGAACTCTCGTGGGCTCCCTCCTACCGAGGCACCATTTGTACTGCTGGAGCTGTCCATTATGCCTGAAAACCCAAAGTCTTCAAAGCGGGACCACGACGGGTCTGGTGTCGTTGGGTCTGTTGACACTGTCGACTGGTTGGCTGTTGCAATACATTTGAGTACTCTCTGGCACTCATCAGTCAGAGCCTTGACAGTGTCTTCGTAAGCGGAGAACTGTTGCAGCGCTCTGTCATCGTCGCGGTACTCGAAGTTCTTTGCGCGACGCAGTAAGGCGAACGGTGTAGGCGAAACGGAATCTACGATCATGACAACCTTGGTTGTGCGCGTTTGCATGAGGGTCGGCGTTTGCGGAGGGTATTCGGTCTGGGTAAGTAGCGCTTGGAGAGAACGAGGCAAAGCTGAAATGCCACCAACTACGTTCATATCTGGAGATAGCGATCGCAGGTAGGCGAAGAAGAGATGGCTGGCAGCATCCGCGGCCCTACAGTGAAGTCAGTATGTATTTCACATGTAATGGATGGTAATGCTTACTTCTCCCATGTGCGATAGCCACCATCGAAGCCCTTGCCGTCTTCGACGAACTCAAATGCCCACCATCCGGCTAAACGAGAGAGCTTCCTGCCACCCATACCGTTGCTCTTGCCCCTTGCTGCGACGGAGGACAACAGATCGAAGAAGTCAAATATGATGCGCTTGCGAGCTTCGGAGTCGACGCTGATTGGTATGAAGGTATCGAATGCGTGGCGGGCGAAGTTTGAATCTGTACATGACATCAGCAGCCATCAGGGGTATGTCCTTGGTGCCAGCTTACCAGACTCGCCGATTCGGAAGAGCTCATAAGCGTCCCAGGTGACGACGCCGCCGGGCAATCTGCTCCAGCACCATTTAATGATGCTGCAGAGCGTCTGTCTACGTCAGCGCATTGCTCGATGTGGGGGTGCAGCTTTGTCGGCCTACCAATGGCTCAGTGAGACGCAGTTCCTGCGCCAGCCCCTCGCCTGAGTATTGCCGCGTGTTCTCGTAGGCGGCCTTGAAGAAGTTGCGTATGAAGTTGCGGGAGGCGCTCGTGTCGGAGGTGGGGCGGAAAGGGAGAAGCATAAAGGGCATGTCCAGGGCTATTGGGAGTCAGCAACGACGATGCAAGTGCCAATTGAGCATTCCCACGTACCCCTCGACTTCATCTCCTGTGTGCAGACGTGGATGAGCTCCTGGATCTCGTCTGGAGCGACATCCTTTCGCGTCCACGACTCCTCCCAGCGAGGTTTTGGCGGCGCGACGGGCTCGGGGGCAGTCTTGGCGCCCTTTTGCTTGTCCTTTGAGTGGAAGACACTCTTGAAGAAAGGCATGTTGGCGTATGGCGGGGTGTCTGGCGGGCGTCCCGTGTGTAATCGCTACCACCTGTAGCGGGTGACGCAGTTGCGCTCTGAGGTGGATGCGCGACGCGGTGGTAGCGCGATGCAGGGACTGGTGCTATTCAATTGCTTTTTCTGCGAATATGCCTGTGGTGTTAGCAGTGTAGGTGTAAAAAGGCACTGCAAAGAGGTTCCAGGGCTCCGGCGGCCGAGAAGGTGAATTGCTGCTGGCGGGAAAGGAGGAGGGCGAGGCAGTTGCCCTCAGGCAGGGCTCCTTAGGGTTCAAGCGAAATAAGTTCCAATCGACGCCCGTCAATCGCCCATCCCTGCCCCCCGCCAAGCCCTCCCTTTACAGCTAGTCGTGGCTCTCCTCTGTGGCACCTGCAGGAGAAAGTGCCTCTGTTTCGTATCTTTGCTTTAGTCGCCAGCACATTGGGGCCCGGGACTCGAAAATCTACGCGGTCAACGGCTGCTTCTGGTGTGCGATTGGTGGGGCTGAATGATGTGTTGTCCCTCTTCGCGTCATCCACCGCGCATCGGACCATGTCATCGTTGACACCGCCTCATATCGCGACCAGTCGCCCTGCCCGCGCTGCTTCATCGCCAGCAGCCCCATCCCAGCGACAAACACCACAAAGCAACACCATACGACGCCTTGTGGGACAGACCCTGCGTAATGCGCCCGCTGCTGATCCGACTAGCTCCCGAACTCCAGGGCCGTTGTCTCGTACGCATGAACCTGACTCCACTGTAAATCTAATACTCATGATGCTATGACTGAGGCTGGAAAGAAGCACTGCACGAGCTGAGCCCGTTCCCGAGACGCAGATACCCGTCTTGTAGCCGCTGGTAGTCGAATGCATCACATTTCAAATGGCTCCTACTGCCATCTCCTGTTGCCATCTCCTGTCACATGTTAGAAGTTCGCTTCAACGTTGACAACAGTGTACAGTTTGTCTTGATACAACAGCAGTCCTACAGGAGCCATGATGTTTTCATGCTCACGTCAATAGCCGTCGTCTTATCGCGTGAATGCTTTTTGGTTCGCGGAGAGACGCGTGAGAGACGTGCGTAATTTCCTGCAAACCCCCACTGGCGGTACTTCGGCGTATCTTTGAAACGGCAGAACAAAGTCAACTTGCCTTCACTCCCGCCCTCGTTCTGGCCAGACACCATAGTCCAACACTCGCAACCATGGGAGCTCGATAAACAAGAGCGCTGAAGCTGCATGGTTTTCCGGATTCATGCTTCATGCTGCCGTTTGCTTGTAAAGGTGAATCATCGGCAGTATTTCCATCGGAGGCACACTGTAAATTCAGATCGACAATTGTTGCACCGCGAAAGACACCGTCTCGACACTTCCTGATGCAGATGAATGCTCACATGGTGTCTTAGAAATTATGCATTTGCCAAGCGTACAAGCACGTGTTTTCGATCTGTTTTCGTGATCTGCGCTAGCAAAAGGGTCTAATTCCGTTCTGGCTTAGGTCCATAGCTCCCGAATTGCTGTCTCCCGTTGACATGTTGTCAGCTGTGCCCTGAGCGCACACCCAAAAGCAAGTCACAGTGACACCAATCAGCGCCATTGCTGCAGCCAGCCATTTCTCAAGTCGTCCTCGCACGTTCTGAGTAGTCTATTTTCATCCATCCCGCCCCCACTTGTGGGCTGTAAACAATTTCCGCCATGCCAGCCCAAACAACATGCCCAATACCCGAAGTCGACCGCGCACTGTCGTCATACATCAACAGCCGGGAAGACACATTGAGGATCCGACGAACGCTCTCGAAGTACCTCACATCAAGCCTGAGGCCTGTCAATGCAGCAACTCAGAACCAGCATCTGAATCATGAATGTCCGCAGAACCTCTCCGCAGCCAATACCAACCCTCCAGGCTTGAAGGACGTTCGTCTGGAATATTTGCAGGCTCTTCGGGCTAGATCGCAGGCGCAAGCCAGACATCGTGAACTCCAGGCATCGTTGGAAGATTTACGCAATCGTTATGTGGACGAGAACCCGACGCAGCCAGAGTCAGAATACGACAATGAGGTTACTCGAGGCTACGTCTCTTTATTGCGACAGCGCAGACGATTTGCAGAGCTTCAGGTCATTCAAGAGTCTCTAGACAAGCTTCTGACCGCAAAGCCTTTGACTGTTGCAGCTGACCCTAGGGCTTCCATCAAGAGCGCCATTGGTGAGCAACCAGATTTACCTGCCGAGAGGTTCGAGCAGCTAGCACAGGCTGAAGAAGACCAGACATGGGTCTTCAAGCTGAAGCAGGAGGTTCTTGAGGCGCGAACAGCTATGGAGCGTGCCCAAGCCGCAAGGAAGAAGGCCCAGGACGAGCTTCAGGTTGAGCCAAGCTTGCAGGTGCAAGTTCATGCACTCGAGCGAGCGAGAGATGAACTCGTCGACTGGGTTCAAGGAGAGCTGGCTAAGATGGAGGAAAACAGTGTCTTCCTCGAGGACGCCTCGCCCATCAAGCGCCCAGTGAACGCCGTAGCACCCGTCGATCTTGCATCAGCAGAATCGCAGATACGGGAATCATACAACAAGTACATTGAAGCTCGTGCTGGCTTACTTGAAGCTCATGCAAGCCTTCAGCAGCCATTGGACGTACAGACTGAGAACCAGAATGGCGGTCAATCCATCCCCTCCGAAGACAGCAACGCCACAACGACGAAGCCTGTTCGACCGATTACCAAGCTCTTGCCCTGTCTCCCACACCTTGCAAAAATAGCCAATAATGAGCGATCTCTACTCCAGCAATCTGTATACCTCCAAAATCAGATGGCATCCGCAAACCAGGACATGGAGGAAGCGCTTCTCCGGCTCTCTGGCGAAAGCCATCTATTACCCGCTGGCTCCAAGGATGTAGCGATATGGGGAAAGATGGCGCGAGAAGCGGAGGCGGTTACGGAAGAATTTGTGAAAGAGCGCTTACAGGCTAGCCGGCAAGAAGTGGGAAGTGTGAGCACGATTGTGGAACTTTGCTCACTGCAGAGTCAGGTCCTGGAATCGGCTTAGAAAGCAAATGTGAAAATTACATCCACTGAAAGGCTGAAATCACAGTTGTTTGAAGGATGATTGGAGCGCTCTAAAGCCAAGTACTTCGCGCGAGTTGAGTCAGGATCCCTCTTTGCGCTTGTAGAGGTGAAGGGTACTGCGGCCTTTCGTGCCAGAATTGACGGGGGATGCACCATCAGTAAAATTGAGTTTGATAGAGCATTCTGTCGCGAAATATGGTATCTCTAGACTCCAACTCGTATCATTCGAGACGTTTTGCATGCGTTTGAAATTTGTTGATATTACCACGTTAATTTCAAAGTACCCGGACAGCAAGCTATGGAAGGTCATCTTGCAGACGGGTCAAAGACGTCTCACAGTAACCCTACATCCGCGACTGCCGAATTCACCTGATCACCCTACATGGACTTGAACGGTTCCCTACCGCAGTAAAGGACAGTACACATGGTAGGGCCTAGGCTTCTGAAGAAACGCTATGACGGGCTGTGACCCTCCATAGTTTAGTAGTGTAAACTCAGTTGAAACGACGCACTCAATTTTTCCCTTTTGCCGTCTCTCCCAGCCGAGATAATGACAAGATATTTGGATGTGCCATTAGCTACCAACACAGACACATACGATATAACTTGAGCGACCACTCAGTTCAGGACGAAACAACAATAGGAAAATTGGTTCAGCAATGGAAAGGCTGCTCAGAAGCAGCTTATCAACAGAATGTGATTGGATCTCGAATGGGCGCGTAGTTCCCGTTTTCTTGCTCACGCCATTATCCTTGTTTGAAGAAGGCACAATATTCGGGAAATCTACGCATCCAAAAAGCACTCCAACATAGGTAACCTCAGCTGAATACAGAAAGTGGTTCCAATATTGGTTTCTCATGACATGTTTGTTTGCCATTGTGTAGAGACGAGAACGAGTTTTGAACGAATCCCGTCAAGCAAATTCGAGTAGCGCAAGATATTCATGTGTGCTTTCATCTTGCGTATCTCGTCTGCTCGGCTCAATCTGGGTATGCATGATAGCAATTTAAGCGCACATCACCTGTGCAGCCACACTTGCCGAGAACACTATAAACGCCTCTAGCCTACATTAAACAAGTGATGCATGACCAGAGTGGCTTGTTGTATATATCTTCCTGATTACTACAATGTCGTCTATGATCGTTCGCAACGCAGCTTCCCATCTCAACTTGCCCAGAATGCATCTCCTTGTAACTCTTTCCATCCTCGCTACTACAGCGCAGGCTCATTGCAAGTTCATCATAGCCTGTTTGAAGGCGTTGAGCTAACAGTTGCAAGATCGCTTTCCCAAGCTCATTCTTAATGGCGTTACTGAGGCGGCGGAATGGACATCCATTCGGCAAACCAAGAACTACCAAACTAATTCGGGTGTTACCTCCGTTACTAGCCCTGATATGCGCTGCTTCCAGAATCGCCCTGGGACAGGTACTGCAACTGTGGCTGCCGGCGATACGTTAGGCTTCGTTGCCGCAGCTTCTATCTCGCACTTCGGACCGGTGCAATTCTACATGGCAAAAGTACCCGATAGTGCGGATATCAATACGTGGGAGGCAGCGGGGAACGTATGGTTCAAGGCAGCGAGTATAAGCGCAGTGGGGAGTCCGTTGACTAGTGGGGAGAGCACATGGCCCGCATATCGTCAGTTGATCCGCACGCGTTATCCTTTCCGCCCTGCATAACTGATGCTAGACCAGAGAAATCGCAAGTTGAGTTCCAGATTCCAAAGAACGTGCCGAGCGGCAAGTATCTTGTTCGTGTAGAGTCAATCGCACTCCACCAAGCTTCTTCGGTCGGTGGTGCGCAAATGTATCTTTCGTGCGCACAGGTAGAGGTTATTGGTGGTGGAAGTGGTAAGCCTGGACCTTTGGTAGCGTTTCCGGGTGCATATAACGCCAACGATCCTGGTCTGAGGTGGTCGTACTATCCGATCGCGACGAGTTATACTGCTCCGGGACCTGCTGTGTGGAATGGCAACTGAGCTGCTTTGGAGCTGGTAGAGATGACGGTCCGCGCTAGTTATGTCGATTCAGAAGCTGGAGGTATATCTGTTGCACCATCTCTTTCTTACGGAGTCCGTATTTTTTCAAGAACAAGCACCTAGCTGGCGTTCTTTCTGCTCGGTCCTACCGGGTTCATGCCATGGAATCTTCTCACACCAAGTACCGCTCCATTCTCAACTTCTCCGCCTCCTCTTTCTTATTGAGTACAAAGGCGACCTCAGACCCAGCAGCAACTACAACAGTTGCTACCATACCGATGCCAGCTCCGATAGCCGCGAAGCCCAGGATCGTGAAACAAGTGTATCCAGTGAAAATAGTCAAGTACATGACACGGAAGAAAAGCAAGAAGAGGTCGTCTGATCGGGGCTTCATCGCATCCAGCTGAGATGCATAGTCGATACTCTGGAGCAATCAAGATATGGTATCTGTAGACGTTGCTATTTTGATCGTCGCAAGGCTGGGTTTCCGCTTTCGGTCTTCGAATACGAGGTGATGTTTGACGCTGATCTTAGTTGGACAGCACGGCCATGAAATTGTGGAGATGCGGTTCCGCGCCAACCGAGCGATCGAGTGCGTGAAGGGAAGAGAAGGGCATAGTACCACAACAAGTGATTTGTAGATAATACAATCTGACAAGGTGAAGCGTAGTTCAAGCCACGTGAACTGGCGTTCAGCTTGCAGCGTTGGCCGCGTCAGCCTCTCGGCGATTGGCCCTTGACGTCGTGTCCTCATGCCAATACTGCACAGTTCAGCGTACCATCATACTACCTTTCTGTTTATAGCAACAGCTGTGCAGGCGAAGACTCGTGCAGGAGGGAACAGACATGACGGAGGCGCCCCTGAAGGTTTCTAGACCGACGACAGAAAGCTGGGAAACAATATTTGAAGCAATGCAAGAATATTTGGATATGACGTTATAAGGGTTCTGCATAACTGTGAGGGGATTTGACTGCTTAGGAATGACTTTTCAAAGTCGCAACCTTGAATGACTTTGCGGACACAAGCGCGTTCGCTGATGTAATCGCCCTACCAACCCGCTGGCAAGCCCCCACAGACCAGACGTGTGCATTGGGAGAGGATATCTGATTTGCCGCTATGGGATTCGGAGGGCAAGCAATCATGTCTCTGTACCAAGGACGCTGCCAATCGTACGAGGACGTAGTGATGGTGAACATGTCGGCACCTTGATATCGCGCATCTGCACGTGTTGACGCGTTTGTCTTGGCACGCGTTAAGCCGCTCAATCGCCACGGGTTCATCTGCACATTCTCAGGCACAAGAGCAGCGCAAACCTCACCAGTTATGCTCAAATAATTTCTCAATGTTCAGAAACCCTCGAGAAAACCAGTCCTTACCGGAAGAATCTCGATTGACCCCCTCCACCGGCCGGCCTCCCTCGCCACCCCGCCCGTCCTCAGCAGCAGGAATGGCTTCCAAGACGGCAACGAAGAAGGTCGCGCCAAAGCCAAACACGAAAGCCCTTCCACCGAAGAAGGCCATTGTGCAAACTACTCTCACACCAGCCGACTTTGCCAAGAAGTCGCCCGCCGGCAATGGCAAGAAGCAGAAGCCGGCAGGCACGCCAAATGGCAACATCATGGCCTTCTTCAAGAAGGCCGAGGAGATCAACAGCCGCATATTCTTGCAAGAACGGGGGTCAAATCCAACTATTGTGTTCGACGGCGACGAGGACGACGTGGGTTGGAGTGACGAGAAAAGCAATGGCGTCATGACTACCGACAACGATGAGGAGCGCTACAATGAGAATGGCGGGAGCGTCAAGAGGCGAAAAGTCAGCGAAGAGGCGGTAGCACTTGTGCCGGCCTGTTCGCCACCTCCACCCACTGATGTAGAAAGCAATACTCTGGACGCGTTGGCAGCTGATGTTCCCAAGCAGGCGTCAAAGCCGCGGAAGAAGTCTGGACCCTTCGTGGACGACTCAGAATCCGAAGACGATAATGTAGAAGTACCTGCAACAACTTCAGGTATGGCCATACGAGGACAAAATGACGATTCGCCAATTGCTAAACCAACCGAGGGTCGGTTACCCGCAGATAGTATTGAAGACCACATCCCCCGCGAACTCCCACCGCTGAAGTCCGAATCCACGTCTCAAAACGGCGACGAAGCGCTAGACGAATATGAAGATCTTGAAGACGACGATTTGCTCGAAGGCGAAGAATACGATGAGAGGCGATGGATGAAGGAACAACAGAAGCTGGAGATGGAGGAAGCAGGCTTTGAGGGCGATCCTGACGAATTCGACGCTCCGCCTCTGTTTCCAGAAAGCGGTACCTCCGAACCCAAACAGGAAGAGCCAAATGCCAAAGATATACCCTCATGTCCAATATGCGGCAACGATCTACCAGGCCTGTCAGAACAGGATGTATCTGTGCACGTCAACGCATGCTTAGATGGCAACCCAATCCCGTTGCCTGTAGCAAAGCCCAAAGAAGAGAACAGGCTGACTACAACGAGCAAAGCAAAGGCATTCAAAAGACCAGATAGGCCAGCCAAACCGGGTCAGGCAAACCCATTTCAACTTGCGAAGCCCAGCACCCAGCCAAGTTCGGCTTTCTCGAAACTTATGGCAGGCCACGCTGAAGACGCAGCATGGGCGTCCGCTGCGGCGGAGAACAACAAATCCCGCGGCAAGCCCGCATACCAACGCACCTGTCCATTTTACAAAATCATGCCAGGTTTCTTCATTGCTGTGGACGCATTTCGCTATGGGGCCGTCAAAGGTCAGAACGCGTACTTCCTCAGTCACTTCCACAGCGATCACTACATCGGACTTACTTCGTCATGGAAACACGGGCCGATATACTGCAGCAAAGTCACTGGCAACCTGGTACGCCAGCAGCTTCGGGTAGATCCCAAATGGGTAGTTGATCTGGACTTTGAAAAGAAGACAGAAGTGCCAGGAACTGAAGGGGTTCATGTCACGATGATCTCCGCAAACCATTGCCCGGGTAGTTCTTTGTTCCTGTTTGAGAAAGAGCTGAGCAAGGGCAAGAGCTCAAGACTACAGCGAGTCCTACACTGTGGAGACTTCCGTGCGTGTCAGGAACACATTGAACATCCACTATTGCGACCAGACGTTTTGGACGCTGTGAGTGGAAAGAACCGACAACAGAAGCTTGACGCCTGCTACCTCGATACCACCTACCTCAACCCCAAATATGCTTTCCCACCTCAGAAGCAAGTTATCCAGGCTTGCGCAGACATGTGCGTTAGCCTCAGCAAAAGCCGCGCGGACGACTCCGATGGATGGGAGAGAATGAAAAGAGAACGCGCGGGTCAAGGTATGGTTCAGTTCGTTCGAAAGGATGCCAGTATAGATAATGCGGGCGAACCTAAAAGTCCGGAACGAGGCCGACTCCTCGTTGTCGTGGGCACATACAGCATCGGGAAAGAGCGCATATGCACTGGCATTGCAAAGGCCCTAGGGAGCAAGATTTTTGCGCCTGCCAACAAACAACGCATTTGCAAGGCTCTCGAGGACCCCGAACTGGACGCACTGCTTACGACGGATCCTCGCGCAGCCCAAGTACACATGACTCCACTGTTCGAGATCCGAGCGGAGACTTTAGACGATTATCTGCGCGAATATGCTGACACGTTTTCGCGCGTTGTCGGTTTCAGACCCTCGGGTTGGAACTATCGCCCACCAAAGGGCCGCTTTACTGAATCGCCTCAAGTACAGACTGTACTGCATTCTGATAACTGGAAAAGTACTTTTGCTATGAAAGACCTCACGCCCCAAGCCGGCAGTGGAAGTCGGGCAAGCTGCTTCGGTGTGCCGTACAGTGAGCATAGCAGCTTCAGAGAGTTGACCATGTTTTGCTGCGCTTTGCATATCGACAAGATCATTCCAACGGTCAATGTGGGTAGCGCAAAGAGTAGAGAGAAGATGAAAGCTTGGTGCGATAGGTGGGCAGCAGACAAGAAAAAGAACGGGCTGTTCAAGCTAGGCGAGCACGGCCAGGGCTGGTCATAACGACACTCCATTGCCATAAGCGGAATTCAGTTTATAGAATTTGTTGTTCGCTAAATCTCACATCTGTCGTGGTATGGATGCCACTTCGCCCATCACGCGCGTCAGAAGAAGCCGCTACGAACTACTGCAGATGTGAAGATACAAAGTCAGTGTACGTCTCGTATGCATTTCGTACAGGCGCAACTTAACTACCAGCATTTTCAACTTCACTAGTTTTCCACTCATAACCAGTCATCGGGATCCGAGCGCTACTCGAAACATGGGAGCCAGTACTTCCCTAATCTGTTTTGGAACAGAAGCGGAAGCACTTTGAACATTTTCGCTGCCTGTCGAGCCAGGTACCGTGGAAATCCATCAAGGAGCGAGTACCTGTCCATTCATTCATCGTCAGACGATTCCCAATAGCACTCTGAACAGAGATGATGGAAGTCAAGAGTGCCTACGCTCGGATTGTGCATGAGTGCTCACTCTAGATTTTAGGTGGCGCGGAATACTGTGATACTTTTAGAACAAGTTGTGGTAGGATCCTGGGTGGGCAGGGTCTTGAATATAGCAGAGGAAAGATGAGATGAATGATTCTGCCCATGTGAGATGGATGACTGCGTCATGTACAGCAGTTAGATTGCTACATGCAAAGGAATGTGACTACAATCATACTGGTTGTACATGAGATGGAAGCCGATGGGATCCAACGCAGGGGATTCAAGATAAAACGAAACGTGGCCAATATTACTGAAGCGGTGCAACGCAAAGACTGCGACATCACGCCAGAAAACTTACGCGGTTATACATCCTTCATGCGGAAAAAGTAACATTGAACACCTGAATACAATTCGGCCCTTAGTAAGCCTCATGCGGTAGCGCTGACCGTACGAGCTGTCGTCGCGTCCACCTCGACGGCCTTGACCACCAGCTCTTTCTCTTTCTTCAACTTCTCTTGTATAGCCTGGTAGTTCCGACTCATAGCATTTCTGGTAAACTCCTCTCCTGTTACCACTGGATACTTCTTCAGCGGACCTTGGATCTTAGCGTCTTTGCACGGTTGGTTGAAAAAGGCGATACTATAGCGCTCGCCATAATAGTCGTCGGGCTCACACGGAGCCTTAACGCGATGGAATGTGGATTTGAAGCGGTCGTCAGACCATGACATGAGCAAGTCACCGACGTTGCAGACTGTATGATGTGGTTAGAGTGCTCGTATTAAGTGTCGATACAATTAACATACCGATCGCGTTCTTCTCAGCGTCAGGCTCAACCTTTGTCCAAGCGTCTCCGTAGCCAAACGATGTCGAAACTTCCCGTCCTGGACATATCTCGAGGCCAGACTGCCCTGCCTTCTGGAACAGTAAGGTCAAAAAATCCCAGTCAGCATGCGCACCTGCTCTGTGATGCACTTCCCCAGTGGGATTCGGTAACCGCGGAGTTTCGAAATAGTGTAGTAATCGGCACACCGTCTGAGACTCTGGCCTTCTGACATCATGTGCTTTGATAAAATAGTCGTCCTCAAAACCCAATCCTCGCGCAAAGCACCTCATGAGGTTCTCGCTGACCGCTTGTACTTTGTGCATGAATGCCAGGGCCTCCGCCTGGAAGCCAGGCAAAGTCTCATCATCTAGCCATCGGCCTGATCATCAATCAGTATGGTTACACATATACCAAAGATGGAGAGAACTGGCTCACCGTTCATGCCTTCGCCAAATTGCATCTGATAAGATTCTTTGCGGTCGACTGCACCAGTCGATGGCCTGATTTGCGCGTTCTTCTCCCATCCAGCATTGTGCTGAGGGGAGAAAGGCACCTGAGACTTTACGGGATCAGGTTGGTTGAAGAAGCGTGCTGACTGGTCAAAGATCCCATCAACAGCATCGCGTGTTATGCCGTGGTCTACGATACAGAAGAATCCATGGTTCTCTGCAGCATCGAGAAGTTCCTGTGTAATCATGTCCATCCGAGAGTCGAAGTCGCGGAGGGAGATGGTCGGCACAGGGCGATCAATGTATTTCGTTGGTGCCATGATGAGATGTTGAAGATTCGGGTCGCTTGATGATGAGTCTGATGAGTCTGATGTACGAAACGAGTGTATCATATTGAGGGAAATCCATACCTGCTCTTATGTTCCGCCATTTTTGTGTAAATGCATATGGTGTCGCAGTAAGCCCCGAGGCGTACCAAAGCCGACGTGGCCAGCGCGGCCGCTCGAATCGGCCGTCATCGCCAGTGGCTTCATCGTAGTGCTGAGATAGGCGGCTGCTGTTTGTAAGACGGAATGGACGCGGCTGAACTGAAGTGGGGCAACTAAATTGGTGGGTTCCGCATTCTCGGCCGCACCCTGTTCCTTTCTGTTCCCTATCGCACTACATACCGACGACCAACTGACAGCCGGTGCCTCCTCTGGATGCTAGACACGTGGTTCTGGAACTCCGGTTCTCATGAGAACAAGGCGCCCTCGAGTGTAACAACTGACAGGCCGATACGGTCAACCTCACCATGGACGATAGTAATGCCTCGAAAGGGCCGCGACCCCGTTTGACATGTACAGAGTGCTATAGAAGGAAGATCAAATGCGACAAGCACGTACCTTGCAGTACGTGTACCCGAAGGTCAGCGCCTCCGTTCTCAAAACAACCCCGAGCTTTGGCAGTAAAGTGGGCTTGCAAGAGCGTATATTGGATCTTCACTGGGAGCTGGCAAACTGGCTTCTGAGTGCGGCTCTGCCATTCCAATTCATCTCATGCTAAGTAAAACAGGGGTTATGCAAGCTTTTGTACAAGAGAAGATATCACCGTGACATCCTCAGCGCCACCACCTGCATATCAAGCTCAGAGCGCGACAATAGGGTCTGACGACCTCGTGCGCGCACTACTCGACCGTGTAAGTCAGCTTGAAGCTAGACTACAGGAGCAATATAATATCGTCTCGAGCGAAACACCGCTACCACCTGCGCAACTGGCTGATAACCCAGCAAGTCCCGCAAATGATGAAGCGATTACTTTATCTACGGACAATAACATCACGTCACAATCTGTGGAAACTGGTGATGCAGCTACTGTGCTAGAATTTCTGGCATGGGGCCGTAAGAAGGATGCCGATTATGGAACTTCGCCAGAACATAACAGCGGGCCAAGACGACTGAGTGTCAGACACGAGGATGGAGCGACCACCTCAAATATCCCATGCGAAGCCAGCAGAGATGCACAGCTTGATGTACTCGAATCGCTTCTTCCCGACAAGACTCACATCATACAACTTGTGGAGTACCACAATACCTCCATCTTATGGTACCATGGCTCCTATTCTTCAGCGATGTTCGGAAGTGACCTGGACCTTTTTATGGGTGAATATGAAGGCAACGTTCGACATGAGGACCTGAATCTTCAATGGCTAGGTCTGCTGTTCGCCATCATGACTGGAAGTATTACATGTGCACCATCATCTATCTATCGGTCTTGGGGATTCTCATCGGAGGAGCGCATGGTCTTGTCTCAAAGGTGGTACGAAGCGACCGTGACATGCCTTGAAGTTGCGGGTTATATCGAGACTCATACGATATATTCTGTCCAAGCTATCGCGACTCTGACGATTGCGGCTCACATTCTAGGCAAGTCGAACAGCCAGTCAATACTGCTTGCATCAGCTGGTCGCATCGCTCAAAGCCTCGGTCTACACCGCCTTGGACCAGAGAACGCAGCTGGGGCTACTTCAAAGGAGCAGCTGCGTCAACGTGAGGCCGGTCGACGGGTATTCAATCAGCTTTGCACGCAAGATTGGTTCCAGATTCCGTTCTCTGAGTCATATTCATTGAACCCTCGCTTCTTCAAGACCTCGAAGCCTCTCAATTGCAACGATGAAGATATGGTACCCCTGCCGCTATCTACTCCAACCCAGGCGAGCTATTGTAACTATCGTTATGATATTGCGGCACTTATGCCGCAGCTATTGGATGCAATGACAGGCTGCAACACGCTTTTCACAAAGTATGAGCAGGTGCTGCGGTACGACGAGAAGATGCGCAAGCTTGCTACCGCATGTATGCCTACATTCCTCTCAAACAATGCGCCCGTAGCAACGGGCTGGCCTATTTATGTTGGATGGGCCAGACGCTCATTGGCTATATGTGCCTCGCACAAGATCATCATGGTGAGAGATTCCCTGTACGAACTGTATGTGACATGTACGCTGATTCCACACGCGCATCTTTTAGATACATCGAAAGTTCATTGGGCTCTCATTCTCGAACTCCGCATTCTCATTTACCCGCCGTACCTGCATAGCAGCATCCAAAACCATATTGAAAGAAGCATTATCTGACAACGACCAGGGGCCGACGCTGTGGATTGAGCAAGCTTTCTCCGTCGCAGCGGGGATCATCCTCAGCCTCGATGCATTTCACCGGTCGGCCATTGAAAGGAAATTTGAGGAACACAAAAAACTTGTCGAAGACGCAATCAGCTACTTGAGGACGTTTGAAGACAGCAAGATAGCTTCACGTGGTGTGCAGTTGCTATCTGGCTTGCAGCGTGAACTCCAGGATGGAGGAAGCGTCAACTCCAGGAAGCGCCAACAGCCTGCAGAATTCGGCGAACTGGCTCCCTCGTCTAGCAAGAGAGCACGTACGTTTAACGTGGAAAGCTTTATCAACAACGTATCTAGAGACTTGCAAGTAACAACCCCCACTTCTTCGACCGCAGATGTCCCTGCAAACGTAGGAGATACTTCATGGAATTCCTTCATGAATTTGTTACCACTACAAACTGGATTCGGGGGACAAAGTCTGTTCGATGATCTGCTTTCATTCCAGTTCTAAGACTATGTATACTTTAACGACATATGATTCCGTGCACCCACACCGCTCCTTTTACGGATGTCTGCTACTGACGTCTTCGCTCTCTGTATGATCTTGCTCTCATCAACGTGCAACAGCTTGCCACTACTGACAAGTAACTGACCGTCTACGATGACTGTGTCGACGTTTGCGCCAGACGAATTGACGAGCACTGTGACTGGGTCCATGCCACCAGCATTTTGCTCGGCCGGATCCCACGGAGTACATGATGCGCCTTTCGGCTCCACAATGACAACATCAGCTTTCTTCCCAACTTCTAGGCTCCCAATCTCAGCTTCCAACCCTAGTGCTCTCGCGCCGTTAATCGTTGCAAACTCTAAGACATCGTATGCGCTCAGTACGCCAGCGTTTTGTCTAACACCACCATGTAGAATGGATGCTAAATGCATCTCGCGGAACATATCGTACGTGTTGTTGCATGGCGCTCCGTCGGTCCCTAACGCTACATTCACACCTTTCGCCACCATATCAGGTATCGGCGCCACACCAGATCCAAGCTTGAGATTGCTCGTCGGATTATGCGAAACTGTGCTCTTACTTTCAGACAAGATTTCGAAGTCTCCAGCTACTGGGTCTGGGTGAACACAGTGGGCAAAAACCGTCTTCGAGCCCGTCAGTTGCGCATCTCGGCAGAACTCAAAGGGACTGCATTGGTAATAGTCTCGATAGATGGTAAGATCTTTAGGCGCTTCGGCACAGTGCATAGTGAGGCCAATACCGTGTGCTCGTGCGGCTTCGCCTATTGCAGCATGAGCCGCCATTGGTGAGCCTCGAGGTGTACCTAAAGATCAGTGTATGAAGTCAGTGTTTGTTTCATATGCTCTTCAAAGAAAGACATCACCTACCGGCCGCAAACCACATGTGCAAACGGTCGTTCAAAGAGCCATGATACTTTTCGTATGCTGATGAAGCAGCAGCGACTGACATAGAGTCCACATCCCGATCTCTGGCATCTTTCATGTTAAGCTTCGGGTTTGACTCAGCGGCCTTGATCAGTTTACCCTGACATCTATGTTAGCTTTACATCATATATATTGTACTGGGAAACTTGCCAGACACGCGCGAATACCACTTTCCTCCACCGCTCTGACGACGTTCTCGAGTCCGCTTCTATGTGTAAGCATAGCCTCCAGGAAACACGTCGTTCCCGTTTTCAACATTTCGGCAATAGTCAGCATCGAAGCCACATAGCCATCATCCTCGGCGTAATTCGCTTCCAAGGGCCAGATCGCATCGCATAGCCAGTTGTGTAATGGAAGATCTTCGGCGAGCCCACGTAGCAGTGATTGCGCGAGGTGTGCGTGGGTGTTAACGAGGCCTGGTATGATGATCCTGTTCTTGCACTCGATAATTTCGATGTCTCGGTCTTTGTTAGAGTTTAGCTGGTCGACGAGGTCAACTGTCTTTCCAAGTGCCGCGATCCGGCCATGTTCGATGAGGATTGCACCATCCAGAATGACCTCCCGGCTCTTGTTGACCGTGATTATCGTCGCATGCGTAAAGAGACGCGAGGGTAACCTGTCCGCAGCTGTCATGATCATCTCGGCTGACCTATTTTCGATGAGGATATACAGGAGAGAAGCTGCTGTGATTGGGATTCGTAGCCAGACGTGTTAGTTCAGGCTGCTCCAAGGCCCTTACGCTAGCTCAATCTTGTCGATGGATCTCATCATGAGGGCAACTCTGCTAATTACTTCACACTGTGACTACCGTTAACGCTCACACAGCCGCGTCCTTCTAAGGCGTGCTTCATGACTGGAGTGATGGGGACCACCTCCGCCGATCTCCGCTTTCGCACCTTCGCTTGAGTGACATGGGACGGCCGACGCTAGTGATATCTTCACCCTTATCTAGCTCGCCTCCCCTGTCACACAGTGTACACCTCAGTGCATACGGACAATATCGTCGCAGTGTTATCGAAGTCTGAAGAACAGCCGGGCTCCGATGGGCTGGTTATCGCGGGGTTCTCGAGCGCAGGAACGCCTATCGTGGTAAAGGCTCTTTGCAGATCTAGAACGACGAGTCAACGACGGCCTAGAGGTTGCTATATAGCCATGCAGCTCCATAATGATATGAATTTACTACCGGCAGTGGATCACCGCACTGAGTGTCAGACCGGGTCAATCAGCAGTGGCCATGGCCCTCGAATCTAATGGCGAGATGGAGCCGAAGTCCAAATACGCAGAAGAAACGGGTCCATACTCCTCAGCAGCGAGCGAAGATATGGGCACAGTGACTGAGAAGTGGCAAGATACACTCGCAGAAATCAAATATGCTTTTACAACGAAGGATGGGTGGATTGGCGACTATGTATGCCGATTCTGTACCCTGAGCCTAACATTCAGCAACTGACAGCTTTAAGGATTATATTTACCTTATCACCCCAAACATTTGGCCACTCAACAGAAAGTACAAAGACTACCAGGCACCATTTTACGGAATGAATGACCGCGTTCCTGTTCTCTTGACCCTGCTTCTCGGCCTTCAACATGCCCTCACCATGATCGGATCCATCGTCTCTCCGCCACTCGCCATCGCTTCGGGAGCGTTCAACTTCGATCCGGCGATGACAACATACCTGGTGTCTACCGCCTTTATAACCACTGGCATCGCGACGGCGCTTCAAGTCACCCGCCTACACATCATGAAGACACCATTCTTTATCGGCACAGGACTCCTTAGTGTTGTAGGACCAACTTTCGATATCTTACCTATTGTCTTCAACTACGCCGCTCTACGATACAAATCCGGAACTTGTCCTGTTCTCGACGACGGAACTCAGGGGCCTTGCCCCGATGCCTGGGGTGCATGTCTGGGTACTATGCTATGTTGCGTCTGGATCCAGATAGCTCTGGCATTTGTGCCGCCCAAGATGCTCAACAAAGTCTTTCCTAAGCTCATTACTGGCTCCCTCCTCACTCTCATTGGAGTCTATCTTGTCGGTAACGGATTACAGAACTGGGGTGGCTCGTCAAACTGCCATGGCGGAGAGGGCTTCTATGCTCTATGTCCAGATATCACCGCACCACGGCCGCTCGTCTGGGGACATCCAAAGTTGATCGGCCTGGGTTTTAGCGTATTCGCTACTATCATTCTAGTTGAAGCCATCGGTGCGCCACTCATGCGTTCAGCTTCCGTAATCATTGGATTAGCTGTAGGCTGTGCTATATCAGGCGTAACGGGGTACTGGTCAACAGAACAACTCACCCAAGCGCCTGGTGGCACTTTCCTCTGGGTACACACGTTCAAACTCTCCGTCGATGGCGCGCTGGTGCTGCCTATGATCATCATGTTCGCGTGTCAGGCTGTGTCTTGCATTCCCGATATCTTGGCCACTGCAGAGCTATCTGGTGTTGACATCGAAGGCACGGAATTCAACAGCAGGATACAAGGCGGTATTCTGTGCGATGGTCTAGGCAGCTTCTTCAGTGCGCTGGGTACGGGGCCGCCAATGGTCAGCCAGGCTGGTAATAACGGCGTCATTGTCCTGACTGGATGTGCATCTCGTCGTGCAGGATGGGCAGCAAGTGGATTCCTGATACTCATGGGAGTCGTCGCGAAGTTCGGTGCTGTCTTCGCTTCTATGCCGCCGTCTGTGCTAGGCGGTATGCAAGTCTTCCTCTACAGCACCATCGCTGTAGCTGGCATTCGTGTCCTCGCGCTCATCCCTTGGACCCGCCGCGATCGCTTCATACTTGCCGTTGCATTAGGAATCGGTTTTATGGATATCTGTCAGCCTGATTGGTTTGCGCAAGTCCTGGCATACGATGGGCCGAATGAGAATCTGGTTGGGTTCGAACAGGGTATAAACCTGGCTGTCGAGACACCCTTTGTCATTGCTGCAATCGTGGGCATATTTTTGAACGCCGTGCTGCCGAAGGATAAGAGCGCCTCGCGAACGGTGGGGTATGGGGATGAACAGAAACATCCAAGAATAGGAGTGCGTGATGATTAGTGAAGTCTTGTCGTTATGGAGTTTCTAAATACACCATCATAATATGACTTCTCTATAGGTCTTCCTATCTGGGATATCTCGGCGCAACTACCACTACGCAGCACCCAATATAGACTGCCCAGGATAATGTTCACATAGGCAAACGGTCACTCTTTACTTGAAGATTTACAAAGTCCGTCCGTAAACATCACGCCACCAGCCTCGCTCTACTTTCTTCTCCAACTGTTCCGCCACAACACTCACTCCAGTATCCGCCCAACACACCATCAGAATGTCACTGTCCACCTTAGATTCGGCCCTTTCCCGCTTCCTTGCCACACATCCAGCCCCACAACTGTCCATTGCAACGCGCATCTACACCGTGTAAGTTTCATAGTGCCTTCGCGTGGAAGTGGTATGTGGTTTCAACTTCGGCGCGCGGCAGAAATGCGGATACCTGAACACAGCACAGTGTGGGTAACGGCTTAGCCGAACATTTCTGTTGTTGTAAACGGAGAGGCTGGTCTGCGAAGATCAGCGGGCCAGGAAATCTCGGCTGGTTTGCCGAGTTACATCGGGGCGACCGGCTGGTGAACAGAAAGTGGAGAGTGGAGAGAATTGAAATGCGAGTTTTCTTGATGGTGGGTTTCTGATAGTCGATGAAGATGGCGATATTTACTTGGCGCATTAGCCATAGAAAATCCTACGAAAACAAGGCTGCACTGTACTGTAGGAGCATCGGACGACACCGAGACGAACACTACAGTACTCGTCAAACCGGTCCTTCTTTGCAACCAATTCTCCCGCTTCTTCTCCCGCTCCCCCTGCCCTCTTCATTCTCTTGACCCTGGTTCCGAACGTTGATCATCATGCATTACATGCGTGCCAGACAACGTGTCAAGCGCGCGCAATCGTTTAGATCGGTGAGCGAACTCGTAACAGCCCACTTGGCTCCCTTCCTTCGCATGAGAGAAACATGACTCGCCAAACAAGTCGACGAGACAGCCGCCCTAGTCAGCCAAAGACGTTGGAAGTTGGTCATAGCACATGGATACCAGCTCCTGCTGGGTGGGTTCGTGTTGATGGGAACAAACGGACTGTGGGTAATTCGCTTGGGGAAGCATTACGATGAAACCAGGGGCCAGGGGTTATTCTACTGGGATTTTGGTGGTCGGCGACTGTCTGGCCGAGTTGAGGTTAGTTTGCTATCGTCGTTGCTGTTGTGGCTGATGGAAAGTGCCGTTAGAGTGATGTTTAGAGCATGCACACGCGGCAGAGAAAGTGTGAAAGAAGGTTTGAACGACTGCGACATGCAATAGACTGCAGGTTCACGTTACATGATTGCCCACTGGGCGTTGTGACATGATGCAGTAGCGTACGTTTTTTCCACGCTTTACCCCCCTTCTTCATCGCCCATGTCAGATCCCATAAATCTCTAGCGTCTTCTCCACATCACGAAAAGCGGTCCGTTCGAGCCAAGTATTGCAGGGGTGTATGGCTAGCGGACCGTGCATCGACTTATTTTTTCACATGTCGAAAAGATCAGGGGACAAAAACGCTCGAGCATTTTTTACCTCGGGATCTTTCCAGGCTGGTGGGTGGGTGGGCGTGTGCCTCGATATTGGCCTGGAGCCGCGAAACCCGGTTTGAAGAGACCGTAAAATTTATTGCCTGTGATATTGAACATCCAGGTCAAAAGGGTCCCTGTTGCATTCGCGTACTAATGTCGTACGCATGGTGCGGTCCGGGTACCCAAACCGTGTCAAGATCAGCGTTGTCTCCCTCGTCAGCGTCGCATCGCATTGACTTGGTTGACGATCAGGAACAATAACTAGGCTACTTTTTACAAACGGTACGAGCTGCGGGTAGAGGGATGGAAGGTCGAGACGAACGTTGGTGATCCCCACGTGCGACATTGCGATTGGTGCTTTTGTTGTACCGGGCCGTTTGAACGTTCTGGCTTCGTTGAATTAGTAAAGCCGGGTGGCTGGGATGCGTGTGGATGCCTGGTGATCTTGAATGAAAGGCGTATGACGCGTGTATGTTAATGTGCGATCAATTTCTGTGTTAGCATAAGGTAATCTACGGTGTCGGACGGCTCCGGTGGAACTAAAGCAGATAGAATAGATTTAGTGGGGATAGCTGGTGCGCAAATGATGTAACTTGAAGAAGCCAGTATTGACACCTGGGGCTGTGTCTTGGAACAATGGGGCTCTGAACGTATGGTAGTACGATTGGGTAAACTTGAGTGATTGTTGAGGCTATCGCGTGTATGGCATACGAGAAGTGGGTACGATACCCCATACTCTCATGGATGAGGAAGGTCCGAGTATACATTGCGATAATGAAGGACCAGTTTGCTCGCCCAGAGTGTTGTTCCAGTGATAGCATTATGCTAGCTAGATATTGCTAGCGGCGCGTAATCGTCATTGCAGTCGTACTTGCGGATATCGCAAGATCAGTGTATTGTACAGGCGCGCTGGTGTTGGCAGCGCTTTTTGTGGGCTTCCATCTCAAAATGCTGGTGCAGTTGAACTGGTTTTCTAATGCCATCCGTTTTGTCTTCCAAACGGATCCATCTTCATCCACCAAATACAAGACTTGGACAGCAATTTCAATGCCGCAGAAGCGCAGCATGCTACCATCTTCGCCGTGGCATTATCTTGACGATAGAGTAAACATGGGCTTGCAAGTCCAGACTTTTCCACCCATTGAAGCTTCTCTGGAGTGCATAGCACAAACGATGTAATTTTGATCAAAGCTTGACGTCATCATTCAACGTGCACGTTTGTACATTGACTGGTCCGCCATGGAAGCGTTGTCGTCCCACCTGCGCTTCAACCCGTCCGGTATGGAACTGGCAACCGCTTCCTGCCACATCGTTGGGGTGACATATATAGGTGCAGCGTTTGCATAGGTCGACGAGGGTGGCATCTGACCTGCTGCCGCATGGACATGGCTGGACTGAGGTGACGTATTTGATATTTGGTACCCGGGTTGCATGCCCTCCTGTGCCGGCCGCATATCGTAATTGGTTCCTGGAGGATTGGGTCTTAGCGGCGGAGACGCCTGAGAGGAGGCGCTAGTAGGAGGGGGCGTACCAAAGGCTACATTCCACTGACTGTGTTGTATTAGCTTGGTGTCTGGCGAATGGATGGTACCTAAACTTACTCAAAGATGCGTTGGGGGTTCCATTGAACATTCTCCGGCATTTGTATGCTGGAAGCTGGCTGGGCCGCACGGTGACCAGATGCCATCATAACCAAAGACTGAGCTACGGGAGAGTCAGCCTTGGATCCGCGGTCGGATACCGAAATTGGTGGAGTAATGGGGTGTGCTAGGTAGTTGGCCTGACCTGGTTGTTCCAAGGGCGAGGGATGGCTCGGATGACGAGGTCGGTATGATCCCTGATGTCCCATAGGACTTGTCTGTGTAGTCACTTGGGGGCTCCCCAACGGGAATGATGGTTTCAGGTCAAAAGGTTTCGAACAGTCGGCCGAAAATGCTTGACGAAGGCTGTTCACTTGCTGCTGCATCTCAGGCATAGGAAACGAAGGGGAAACAGTTTCCAGGACGCGCATGTGGCGTACGAAAAAGCTTCTGGCATCGTGATTGATGTCAGGGTCAGGACATGTCACGGCAACCTACAGTTGTCAGTCTGGAATCTTACTGATCTTCATAAGTGACGTACCAGGTGAAGCATAGTGCAAGTCAACACAGCATAGATGTGAAAGCTTATGCCTCGCATCATGCACAGCAAACCGGGCATGCCGTATGTCTTCAAAATCGCCTCCTGGAGCTTACATAGATTCTTTGCAGCCGAATAGCAAGTGAGCATATGCTGCTTCCATATACCGTCATAAGACTCAGATACAGCATGCAACTGCGGACGAAAGTGCATGATGATGGCCAAACAATGGTAGCTGTGCATATTCGCCAGCTGATGAGAGGGAATCCAAGGAGCAGAACCATCCTGGGGGTAGACGATTTGCATGTCCTCAGGAAGCTCACGTAGCCAGAGAGAGAAGTCGGTGTTGTGTCCAACGAAAGCCGGATCCAGTGCCCAGTCCGGGTTCTTCTTCCTTAGTTTGCCGTAGATGAGGGCCGAGTGGTGGACGTTCTTGGCAATGCGGGCGTATTGAACGAACTGACGCGCAACCTGAAGCTCAGAAGGATCTTGTCCTGCGATGTGCCTTGGCATCTCCAAATCTACCGTGTCAGTAGTAACACCAAAGTCGTAGCGCCCTGAAGAGATTAGCATTTCGAAGCTTACTGCTTTCTAGGCGACCTACCTTGGGGACCTCCGATCATGACCTCGAAGATCAAGCACATCTGCCATACCCTGGTCTTAGCAACACAGTCGTGCGTCGTGGATCCACATGATTTCCCCATCTGATGAGTGTCGTAGTGTTCATGTAGTTCGAGATCCTTCGCCATGGCTACGAGGCTGACAGTGGCCATCCATGAACGCCAGAAGTAACCTCGCTTTGGTGAAGCTTCACGGGCTTTCAGCAACAATATCATTGCCTGCATCGTACTTAGCCGTGATACGTCTTTGAAGCTCTCTTCATGCTCTACATGTTGTTAGCAAGAATGCTTTATCAATCATTGATACTACTGACTCGTGGCAAGGGCTAGCCATTTGTTACCCTCCTCTGTATCGCCCAGCATTAAGGTGGCGCAAGCGAAGATGGACTCTAGCATAAGTGGAGAAATGGAATCAGGTGCGCTGTGCCATTGCTGGAAGAAATAGGCCTTGTTGATGACCGGACAATATGGGTGGATGTTGGTGAAGAAGTAGTCAAAGTAATGCATAGCCCGATCATCATCGGGCATCATTTCTGGGGGTATGCGAACCGTATGGTCCAAGCTTACGGATGCAGGCAGTTGTACTTCGTACTCCTCCTGTGCAGGTGTCTCGGCCAAGGCCTTCTTCATGTTAGTGATGTACGGAGCTATGCTAGTCAGCGCGATGTCATTTTACTGAGATGTCATAAGACTCACCAATGGCCGTGTGGTCTATTTTGAGTTCGCCCAAAGCCTCGGAGAGGCTTGATACGGAATCACTTCGCCAATGGGGTTCAGATTCTGGCGGGGTCAAAATTGCAGGCGGAGCAGCTGACTGCTGTGAGTAGCCATGTTGCGGAGCATAGCTCATGGTTTGCTGAATGACCTGAGGCTGGGACATCGCCTGGTAGTGACATGATTCCGGCGCCTGTTGATCCACATAAGGTGAAGGTTGGTACATGCCCTGGGTGGTAGGCATGGAAGGCGGCATCTGGTGAGACATGCCCTGCGACATGGACGGATGGCGTTGATAGTCATGCTGGGAAGACGGATCCGAGGCATACTCCAAGGGCTTGGGCTCCAAATCGAAGGTCTGCGAGCCATTGTAATCTTTGTCATAGCTGACTGTGGGCGGCACGCAGTTGAGTTTTAGACGGATGCAAGCAGCGCAAGGCCATGCGTTCGTCGTCGCTGCATCGCATTTGATCTTGCGTCTACGACATCCTTCGCATGCTCTCATTACTGCTCAACGTTAGCATTTGCATGTCAACCAGATTTCATGCTATCACACCTTTCAAGCGTTTGTGTCTATTGTGTTCGTCTACGAATACATAATCTAACGTCATGTCAGTCACCTTTTCCCCACCGCGCGGAGCGGTGTATGGACTTACTGCGCTGGTTCTCACGCGGCGCCAGCGTGGGCGGCGCAAAGGTGAAGCTCTGCATTTGCGCCGTTTGTGGCAGCAGTGGCCGTCCAGTGGTCTCCGGGGGCATAACGTTAATAGGTACAACGAGCCGGTCCGGAGTGACAGCGCAAGGCCTGGCGCAGTGGTTGCAAGCAGCGGGGTTGTCGGCTATCCACTAAGTCGATGAGGTTGTGTGCGGTGGTCGGTGAGCAGCCAATAGTAGCGGCGCGCGATGACGGTCCAGAATGTCCAGAGGGCCGGCGGACGGAAGAAATCGCGGAAAGGCCAGAACTAAACACAAAGAATGCGAAATCGAGAATAGATGCACTGTAGAATCCTGTAGCGCAAGGGAAATCTCCGCGACGCCGCGGCGTCGTTAGGTTATACGGCAGATCAGGGCAGAAGGCGCATAGGGATGGTAGGTGGAGACGATGTCTGGCATGCCGGGGTTTCGAAGACGCACTGGCAGCCGGCTCGCAGCGTGGCTCACGCGCACAATAGTGGCGTCGCAGTGTATGGATCTCCTGAGAGTCGAGAGTATTGTGGTCCTAGGCGGTTCACCGTGTATGAAGGGGTCGATAGGCGGGCGAGGGGTAGACGATATGCGACTTAAGCGTGCAGGATCCAGGAGCCGCACTGCTGCACAAGTAGCGCCTTTGGTATGGGCGCCCAAGCTGCACGCGCGTGAGCGCAAGCGTCCGCTTCCAAGATGCTGCGGGCACAGGGAACTGCCGTGCTGTGGGGGTGTGAGGCAATGGGACGCAGGGATTGTCGTGCCCGTTAGAGATGGCCTGAATCGTAACACGTAGAACGACGGGTAGTGTGGACCTTTGAAGGCTGCCATGGGCCGGGAACGATTGCTATAAAATCAGCGGGGGCAAAGTCTGACAGCTGAAAAGGCCGTCGTACACGGCGCCGCTCTCACTCAGCACATTCCAAGGCAAGTAAAACCCTTCAGCGGACCGCGTACGCAATCTGTCGCGAGGTTTTGGTGGCGGGTGCATTTGCTGGATTGCCCAGAAAAAGAAGATCAAATGTGACCAGTAGACTGCAGAAGCCCGGTCCTGCCCGTGATAGGGCTGGACGATTTCGAAAACCTTGCGCGTGCATTTAGTCGGTTCATAGTCGTACCTAGTTTCTCATCTCGCACAGCCTTAGGTGCCTGAATGTTTGAGACATGGTCTGGCAGTGTACCGCAATGACAGGTGGGCCTTCTAGAAAGTGATCTCCGAATGCTAGCTTCGATGACGAATGTTATGCTTTAGCCGACATATAATACAACAGGTGTACGACTATAGCAGACTAGATAGGGGTACGAACATTCGTCTGGTAGGACGCTGCACGACTTTCAGGGAGACCAAAGCGAAACAAGTCTTGTCCACATAGTTGCGGCAATGACTTGGCTCGACACGGTGTGAGGATAGGCGTCCACTACTCGACGTCGCGTGTCGGCCTCGGTAATGTGCCGCCGTCTTCATCGGTGGCATCTCCATGGCCTCAGACTCGACGTTCACTCAAGAGGCTTTGGACGGGTTGGGCATACGCGATCCCGTCATATGCCGCAGAGCCTACGGCAGAACCGGTGTGTGTCGTTGAGCTCGACACGTCGGCGAATTGATTCGTACGGAAGCTTGGTAGGGCCATCTGCATGCAAGGTTCTAACGGCAGACGCATCACCATCAGCGTAGCCTGCATGAAACAATATTACTCCAGATGGCTACTCTCTGTTGGGCTAAGATGATTTTTGGACATGTAGTCTGCACAGACAGACGGCATGGTACTGCATGAACCGAATACGAGTATTGCGGCCGTGAAGCGAAACATAGCTGATAGAAGTTGGAGAAGGCTTCGATCCGATGCATGGATCGTGTTCTCGTCCGCCACGGGCGATTGCATGACATGAAGAACGACCGAAGATTGCATGGAAAGCTAAGGTTAGGGTCGAAAGTCCCTTTCCTTAGGCACCCTCTTCTAATCTGTCAACCATACTGCCGGGTCGCGCTCGCTCTTGCGCGGCAGGCGAAAAGGCTGTGCAGCTGAACAGCTTAGTTTGCCCGACAGGCAGGTGGCATGATGCTGGCTGCGATGGCAGAGGCAAATAGCAGCCAGGTCACTTCTGCTAGCTTCGATCACGCAGAGACGTGACGGGCGTTGCCAAGTCGCATCTTGATGGAGCGAGACGGGATGGTTCGATGACTGACAGGTGCTGGCGCCAGGCTACCGTCGACACATGGAAGGTCGATAGAAGCGCAGTGTTTTCCGTGGCGTCCGGGCAAGATAACGCGAATACTGACCTCATCTTGCGCTGATCACTGCCGTTGATCTCCCTGCAGCTCAGGAACACGGCAATCAAAGCAGGGACAATCCAGCAGCACGGTTGGTCGTGCACCGGATGAGGCAGCACATCCGTTCTGAAGGCAGTACAGTGCGGGAGGAGCCGACAGATGTTGTTTGTACCACAGCACGACAGTGAGTTGTAGAGCAACACGGTCGTCTCAAAAGCCTCGATAACATGATCAACATGCCTGTGCAAAGCGCGAAGAGTCGTCGAGCTGGTCGATCAGCCGGAAGCGTCGGCTGCCGATGAAGCCCAAGCACACTCGCCAGCCGCGATGCTTCTCACCTTCTAGATGCGCACTGGAGGTTGGCCGAGACTGGCCGAGGGAGACGGCAAGATGGGCGCAGGAGTTGACGAACTGCATACCCCGGCGCCGTGATCGAATGACACGATGCTGCTCGGCATCTGCAGACACTAGTCAAACACGGGTACCCTGTGGTGTGAACGGTGCACCCCACACCCAAGTGTCCCCTGTGTGTCGCGGATAATCTGCGGGAAATTATTATATTACAGAGCAATTGGTAAGGCATCCAGGAATCCCTATGCGGCGCCGGCGGCCATGGCCGGGCGAAGTGTGTGGGAGAGGGTGGTGAGGGTGAAGGACCAATAGCGGGTGACTGGTTCCGACTGTCTGGCTGGCTGGCACATGCTAGATGACGAACACCGAGGAGGGGCTGCGGGTGGTCCGGGCGCACCTTCCTCGCAGATTTGCTGGAGAGGCAAGAGCCCACGACGGCTCCTTCCCTCAGCCACCACTACACCAAGACGACGCATCCCCTGCAAACCACGGCAATGGAGCTCGACAAGGACAACGCCAACCCAACCATCTTGAATCCCTCGGATCTGCCCTCCCGACGCAGCGAGTCGACGGTCAAGAGGCGCGATGACGGCGGGACCGGCCTGTTTGATGATTTGATACCGCGCTACAACTACCTCAGCGACCCCTTCGACGACTCTGTGTCGGCAAGCGCATCTGATAGTGACGACGCACGTGAGGACATCGATGAGCAGGAAATCTACGGTGGGCGCGCATGGTGGCTCTCTATCAAATTAACTTTGGCTGACCCCGCGCATGACAGACCTCATTTCCACCATCTGCGACCCTGAACACCCGTTGTCCCTCGGCTCGCTGTCTGTCGTCAACCTGCCCGACATTCACATTCTGCCGCCCTCTTCACCGCTTTCCAACATCAGCACCGTCGTCGTCGAAATCACCCCGACCATCACCCATTGCTCCCTGGCCACCGTCATCGGCCTAGGTGTCCGCGTCCGCCTCGAGCACGCCCTACCCCCACGCTTTCGCGTCGATGTCCGCATAAAAAAGGGCACCCACAGCACTGATGAGCAGGTCAATAAGCAGCTCGGAGACAAGGAGAGGGTCGCCGCTGCCCTCGAGAATGGTACGCTGATGGGCGTGTTGAAGAAGATGCTCTCCACGTGCGAGTAGATTCCATGTCGCTCTGTTCCCCAACAACACTCACCAAGCCGCCATCTTGGTTCGGAATCAACGGCGTGCCCGAGATCGTCATTTCCGCCGTATCCATAATACGGCAACATTGCGTACCATGGCAGCATCTCCCAGCGGATATACCTCCATGTTCGGATCCGATCATAGCTCGCCAGACTAGGGAATGCCTCGGTTTGTCACAATATTGATCCTGTCCGGCAATATGTAAAACGCTCATGCAGGAGGCGCGTGCCCAACCCCCTGCGTCGATCATTAGTGTCCTGTTGGATATAGCATGTTCCTGCAGGCTAATGTCGTACACAAAGTCAGATCTGACCTCACCACAAGGACTTCGCCCACAGAGAGCCTGTTGCCGCTATTCGTGTATGTGAAAATAAGTTTCGATGGCGTACTTGGCTAGAATGGCGGCGGCTGATAAGTCTTGGGCTCATCACAAGATCCGGTTGATTTAGCCGCGCGCACACCGCAACGTGTGATGGGCGAGAAGACTATTAGGCCGAGTAGCATTAGGAGCAGATGTGGTATGAACATCTTCGGAAGTGTCAGAAACTGCGCATGCAGCTTTGGGGTCACTCAATAGCCATCCTTTCGTTGTTCAACTATGCCGGCTTCATGTTTTTGCACTTGTTTCCTTCTGCAAGTGACGCATTCCCTTTTACAATCGCATGTTGCAGAGATGACGAAGCATCCGTGCAGCCTGGAGCATACGTCGATACCCGTCTGCTTCCTCAACTGAACGCTCAGATCGACCGACCTTGGCCAGAACCTTCTCTCGTTTTGAATGTGATGCCGGATGACTGTTTGTGAGAGCTATTACGAGCTCATGTTCTGGTGCAGGGCATGTAGCATGCCGACTTGGGGAAGTTACCCATAGTATGAAAGAAGCAGCAACCTACTTACACTAACCGACAAGCGAAAGAAGATCCGCCTAGCACGCAGCCACGTTCTAACGCAGGATTGTTTTTATACCCACCTTTAAATCTCATAGTCTCTGAATCTTAGACAGCATTAACACCCAGCAACCATGTCACAAGCTAGTACTGTATCCCACGTAGAAACGGGTCTCTGCGTTGCAGCCTCTTTGTTGGTTGTTTCTTCCGTTCTCAGAAAACTAGACACGTCCATAGAAGTTGTGATAACGTTGTTTATCTCCAAAGTTTCCATCATCGCCGTCTTGACGCTGTCGCTACTTCAGAGGCGCAAAACAAATCGCGCAATCGGAGAGCAGATATGGTCGAGGAGGTAAGTCACAAGCTTGAAAAGAGTGAATGCATCTGCACAAAAATTCGGAGCAAAAGAGCGATTAGAACAAACGCGCAATCACGTACTTAGCTCCCTCTACTTGGCACTTGTATACTCAAACTGACGGAATATAATCGAATAAGCAAACACACGAGCCTCCACTTAAACAGATTCTCACACGCCCAATTTCCTTGTCAAATTAAACATCCACAATCTCTCAACGTCATGGCGCTACCCTCGGGTCAAACTGCATGGATCGTGCTACCATGCATCCTCCTCTCTCTCTTCGCGGCCCGCTTCCTCCTCGAAGAATTCGCATCACCAGACGAACGCGGTCTTATCATACTCGCTAAAGCAGCACTCGTCTTCTTCATCACACTTGTTCTCACCACCAGAGCAGCGAACTTGCTGTTCCATCCCGCTCCGTCACCAACACAACCACCAACTAGGGATGTTCTGCGTAAGAAACGAAAGATTTCCCCAGCAATCGAGGAAGACGTACGTTCCTGGCGTGAAACCAACCCTCCGAAGCTACGTTGGAGCTCTGACTCATCAGATGAGGTAAAAGAGGAAGTGAAGCGCCGAAGGAAAGAGAAGAAGAAGAATAAGACTGGCAGAAAGAAGAAGGAGAGCGATACTGACAAGTCTCTGAGAAGGAGCTTGTTCGAGATGTTCAAGCCGAAAAGATACGAGATGCTTGGAATAAGAAGGGAGACGGTTGAGGAAGTCGTATGGGAAGATCCATTGCTTTAGATGTGAATGAGGAAGGACAAATGAATGACGAGTAATTATGACTACAGAAGGCTGATTACGAGTATAATTTCTCGAGTAGCCCCTTTCTATGGCTTCCTTGCGCAAGCTGTTCCCTTTCACATATTTTAGATTTGCCATTGGCAGACATAAAGGTAGCAGCAAACCCTGAAAGCTTAGCGAACGTGCGACGGAGCGCGACTGTCTAATTAGTCAGTCCGAGTTAATAACTCACAGCCAATGTTTACATACTTCTGTAGACTCCCAAGACCAGTTAACAAATCCTCAATCTCCTCACCCTGTTCCAGTCTTCCACTGACAGCCCCTCCTTTTTCCCTCATACAAGCCCTGAGCCTAATCCCCGACATCGCCCTATAGTATCAACCTCCGCCTCTAGGATCTCGAGAATTTCCCTTTCGAGAGCAGTATTGACTGCCATACCTATAGAAGGGTAGACCAGAGATGTCAACAATCAAGCCAATCAAGCTGAGCTAGCCTTATATAGTAAGCTACTAGCCTATGTAAGCTAGACTCCTACTAAATATGGCTAGCTCAGCTTGATTGGCTTGATTGTTGACATC